AATGAGCTGCCTTCCCCCGAGCCGGAGGAGCTCATCTGCCCACAAACTACCCACCAGACTGCGGAGCCCACAGAGGACAATAACAACAATGTTGCCCCGGTGCCCTCCACAGAGCAGATCGGCAGCCCGGTGGCTGAGCCTCCATCGCCAGTGGAAGAGCAAGTCCCTCCAGCAGCTCTGGCCCCTGTCCTGCACCCTCCGGCAGCCTCTGCGGTGGGTGTCCTCGCCTGGCCTCCCTCGGCACTTACCAAGTCAGGCTGTGTGGGAGCTGTCAGCGTCAGGCGTGTTCCTGCGCCCAGTTAGGCTGAGGGAGGGCGGCCAGGTGATCACACAGGCCCAGGGGCATCTAGAGGGCTTCCACTTGGACCCGGAGAATGGCAGAGAGGGAGGGAGCCCTCTAGACAGACGCCTTGGGCCTCAGGCTCAGCTCAGGGAGCCCTAGCAAGGCCTCTGCTAAAAGACCCATTGCATAGCAGGGGGTTTGAGCTGCCAGCTCCCTTAGGTACGGCTTTGGACCCGGCCTCCAGGGGGAGCAGCTGGCAGTCTGCATCCCGCTCCTGCTATGAGCAGGAGCCTGGGCCCTCGGGACAGTCATTGCCTGGGGCTCGGTTCTGCCGTCCCCTTTGCAGGTCTTGCCTGGCTCCACTTCAGGGGTCACTTCCTCCCTGCAGAGTAAACGAACCAACCTGAAGAAGCCCAACTCGGAGCGGACAGGGCACGGGCTGAGAGTGCGCTTCAATCCCCTGGCGCTGCTTCTAGACGCGTCCTTGGAAGGCGAGTTTGACCTGGTGCAAAGGATCATCTATGAGGTGAGCCGCGCCCTGTTCTGTGGGCACATGTGGTCTGGGGTGCCAGCCTCTCATGTGCTGCCTGTCGCAGGTGGAGGACCCCAGCAAGCCCAACGACGAGGGCATCACCCCGCTGCACAACGCCGTCTGTGCCGGCCACCATCACATCGTGAAGTTCCTGCTGGACTTCGGCGTCAACGTGAACGCTGCTGACAGCGACGGGTGGTGAGGGTCCTCGGGGTGTGGGGTTGTGAAGGGAAACATGCTCTTGAGGAGAGTATTAGTCTCTTTGCAGAACCTGTCGTGCAAGTGTGCATGTACGTAGCACATCTCACCTCCCTTCCCTGTTCCCCATCTCTTGGAACATGCGTATTTAGAGAACTCGGGAGTACGGGAGGAAGAGCAAGAATACCATCGTTTCATCCCCCACAGACCCTGGCTGTCAGCGCTTTGCTGCACGTCTTCCCAGCTTTTCTCTGGATTACTGGTTATAGCTCCTGCGTGCATTGTTCTTCTTAAGCATTCTGCTAGTTATTCGCCCTTCCTCTTTTCAGATACTCTGTGTGAATTCCTAAGTGTGAATATATGGAAAGTAACCAGAAGTCCCCTTGCTGGACACTTTGATGTTTGCATTTTGGTTTCCCTTGCCTTTGGGACCAGGGTCCTGCTGCAGCCTGCTGTGGGATTGTTGTGGATTTGCACATAGCTCTCATTCTGCTGTGTTTGAACAACTGCGTTTTACAGTTGTAGTTGAAGTGCACTTAGGTAACTCGCACAAGGGCTGCCCTCTTGGCCGTTTGCACAGGCTCATTTCAGTGTGTCAAGCTTGTTGACATTGCCGTGCAGTGAGCATCTGTGAGCCCCTGTTTTCCAGAAGTTTGTGTATGGTCCAGGACAGTGGTTAGTAGAAAGCACGCCTTCCATACAGCCAGGCACTTAGCACAAGGCTCGGCCTCACCTACAAGGGTTCCTGGACGGTGGCAGGAAGGAGGAGGCGGGCAGCCGTGGGTGGCGCCCCCGTAGCTTCACCTGCTCTGGTTCCAGGACCCCACTGCACTGTGCTGCCTCCTGCAACAGTGTTCACCTCTGCAAGCAGCTGGTGGAGAGCGGCGCGGCCATCTTTGCCTCGACCATCAGCGACATCGAGACCGCTGCCGACAAGTGTGAGGAGATGGAAGAGGGCTACATCCAGTGCTCGCAGTTTCTGTACGGTGCGTAGGAGGCCGAGTGCATCAGGTACCGGGGTGCTGTGTGGCAATGCTGTGGCCCCGGGGGCCCGGAGACCCACTCAGGCCAGCGAGCCTGCGCCCCAGCCTCCTCCTGCCGGGCAGGAAGCCTCACTCTAAGGGAGGCCCCCCTGACCTTCCTCTAGCTCTGTAAATATGGGTAAAAGTCCACGTCATGACGAAGGTTCTACGCCAGGTGGCTAAGGCACCAGGGTGACCTCACCGTGCTCTGTGCAGCAGCCCTCAGAGCAGAGGGGCTGGGCTGGGGCAGGCAGCACCTTTGCACACCTGCTGGGCGCACCAGGGCTTGATGTGGGGCCATGCTCCCTGTGTCGGCCTGACGTTGGTCGTCTGTCCTATGAGCCATGATGAGTGAGGCTTATGGCCAGTGAAGCTGCTGCAGCCAGGGCAGGAGAGGAGGCCAGGCAGGGACTGTGCTGGCCTGCAGAAACCAAGGATCCCACAGCCCTCTCTTGCGGGACAGGGTAGGGCACGGCGCGGGCACACGCTCACCCAGCAGCTGCGCCTCAGGCTTCCTGGGCACCTGGTTACTGCCGCCCAGCCCCAGCTCCTCGCGGAGTTTGTTCAGTTTCACCCTAAGAAGCACCTCCTAGAGCAGCACGCCTCCACCTCTGGGTACCGAATTTCAGCACAGTCAGGTTCTGCGTCTACAGATCTACCAGTTGCAGGTTGAAGTATTTGGGAAACAGTCATGACTCACGAACACAGACTGTCTTGTCCTTACTCCCTGACAACACAGCATGTTCACTGCATTAGCTAGTTGAAGGCACACAGATGATCAAGTTTATGGGAGGACGCTAGGCACCTCTGCTGTTCTGTAAAGGGACGTGAGCACCTGAGGACTTGGTGTCTGCAGGGCTCCCGAGCCCGACCCCTGGGTACTGAGGGATGGCTGCTGTCTTGCAGGGACAGCAGGGGTTTGTACACTTTAAGCCAGGGGGCTGGGGCTGCGGCTGGGGCTGGGGAAGCACTGGGCAGAGTGGTCCTGCTCTCACCCCAGCTGGCCCCTGTTGGCCTGCAGCAGCTAGGGCAGCTGGGCAGCAGCGCCCATCAGGCCCCTCATGGACTGCCCTCTGCTGGGCGTGACTGTCGCTCTCTGCTCCCAGGGGTGCAGGAGAAGCTGGGAGTGATGAACAAAGGGGTGGTATATGCCCTGTGGGACTATGAGGCCCAGAACAGCGACGAGCTGACCTTCCATGAAGGCGACGCCATCACCATCCTGAGGCGCAAGGACGAAAGCGAGACTGAGTGGTGGTGGGCTCGCCTCGGGGACCGGGAGGGCTACGTGCCCAAAAACCTGCTGGGGGTAAGTCGGTGTCCTCACAAGCAGGCCAAGGCACCACTTGTGGGCATAGTCCAGTCTGCCGGGGCCCAGCCCTAACTGCTGTGCTCAGCGCAGGCCCCTTCCCTGCAGGGCCAGGGCAAACTGAGGGCCCTGGCCGAGCCGATGTCTGTGCTCATGGCGGACTCCACTGGCCAACCAGGCTGCCCACTTACAGCTTCCGCCCAGGGCTTTCCAGCCCAGGAATGTCCCCAACAGGTTGCCGGGGTGGCACTTACCATGGCACAGAGCTGGCAGATGCTCCCTGTTCACTCCACAGACCTTCCTGCCTCTTGAGGCTTGAGCTGAGCAGATGTCTGCCCTTGCAGAGCTTGGGCCCTCGTGAGCCCAGCACAGCAAGCTTCCTAGTGACAGAGTACCAGGAGAAGGGACAGGATACGCTGGGGTGGAGCCCTTGACAGTGGGGTTGAGAGGGCCTCGGAGTAGAGGGAACATCTGGGTTTAGGCCTGGGAAAGGACAAGCCTCGAGTCCCCCGGGTGGCTCACAGAGGCAGCGCCCAGGGCCAGGAGTGTCCGGTGCGGGGGCAAGTCGTGCTCAAGTCTCCTGGCCTTGACTTGGATCTCTTGTCCCTCAGTTGTATCCACGGATCAAGCCCCGGCAGCGAACGCTGGCCTGAACTTCCCCTTGGAGCACCGCAGTCTCACTGGCTCCCAGGAGCCACTGGAGGTGATTCTGCTGTCCCCAGGAAGCTGCAGCCGGGGTGGCCACATGGTGCTCACTTTAGCAGACAGCATCCACAATGTGAATCCCCACCCTTCCTGGCGAGGCCGTTTCTCCAGTCTGTAACTGGGAGAAGTACTTTGGCCTCCAAGACTGAATTTTGCCAATTACTATCATCCAAATAAATACTCAGCTTTCAGAACACCCGCCCATCACCAGTAAGAAGCCCTGTCGTTGTCCTGGGCCCTGGTTGGCTGTCAGTGAAGATGAGCTCTGACTGACAGGCCCAGTGCTAGATGCTGCCCCACCCCACAGCCAAACCACCCTGCCCTCCTCACCCTCTCCACCATTCCTCCTCCTCTCACCACCAAGGAGCCCGGCCGGGGTAGCTGTCCAAAGCCTGTGTCCCCTCGGGCCCTGCAGGATTCGGGGTGTTCTGCTTCCTGCTAGCCCCGTCCCAGTCTTCCATGGCCCAGCACACATGATCCCCTGGTTCCTAAGCCTGAATCGGGGTCTGTGGCACTGTGGGGCAGGGCTGGGCCCCGGTGGTTGGCAGCTGCCTGGGCTGCGGGACGCAGTGACCGTGCTCCGGGTCTGCATGCCATGCGAGGCGGGCACCGCACTGTGGACAGGCCTTCTCTCCACAAAGATTCCTTCCACTTAGACCGCTCCAGGTTACCAGAGCTTTGCTGGAAATGTTTTTCCTCATGAAAACACAGGCCCAGGCTTTACTCCTCCTGTGCGGTCGTGAGTATAATTTGTGTACAAACACGTGGAGATCGTGGATGCAGCGTGGCCATCTTCACACCGGGAAGCCTCCGTCCCAGCACTGCTGATGCCGTGTAAATGTGCACAATAAACCACGCGATCAGTCACACCTGGCTGCGCGTCTTGTGTTCTGCGGACAGGATGCGCTGGGGCACGAACGCTCCGGCACCGGACAGAGGCCGCAGCCTGGTACGTATTTTCAAAATAGGTTTTAATTTTATGCTTTTATATACAAATTGCTATACCATCATTTTAATAAAGTGAGAGTAAGTGAAAAGTAGAAAACAGCACTGCGCCTTCCGCGCAGTGAAGGGGCAGGGTTGCTCACTGCTCCCGGTTAGTGCTGGGCCAGCGGACAGTCTGGAAACAGCACAGAGGCCGGCGACACAGCCTCACCTCAGGGCTGCTGAGCACCCCCCAGTGTATTACTCTGGGGAAGTCCCGGGGGACCCTGATGAGCCGGAGTCTTCCAGTGACCCTGGGCATTCAGATACGGTCCTGGTTATGCTAAAAACGGTTCCGAAGTAGTGCAGCTCGGCCTCTCCACCGCCAGCTAAGTATCAACAGGACAACAGACAAACTAAGACAGGAAGAAGCTGTTCAAAGCGTTAATAAACTGTGTACATATTGCACTAAGTAAGTGAGCACTTTGCATCTCCAGATACTTGAATTGCATTTCCAGCACAAGCGAGGTCAGCCCCATGGTGCTCGATGACCAGACGCACTCCGAGGGGGCCTTGCACGAGAGCTACTGGTCCCGAGACTCGTAGAGGAGCTTGGCAGCCTGCGGGGCGGTCAACAGGAAGCAACCAAAGCGAGGCTAAGCATGGGGTGCCTTTCAGGCCTATGTGGTGGCCCGGTGGCCCGCCCGCCCGCCCAGGCACTGTACCTTGTGCATTGCTGCCAGCCACGCTGCCGCTGGCCTCTTGCTGGCGTTCGCGTCCTCCCCGGCCATCAGCTTCAGCTGGGCTGCGCCTTCTGACCCCGGCACCATGTACTGCAGGAACATGCCTGCAGCCCGGGCATTGCCTCCTACAGGGGAGGCACCGAGGGCCGGCAAGGCCCTGGTCAGTGGTGGCGGGGCATGTCCCCACCCTGTGCTGCCTGGGGACACAGTGATCTAGCCTGCTGCCTCCAGGGCGGGGACAAACTACAAAGCCACATCAACAGGAGCCCCGTTCTTGGACAAGCATCCTGGGTGCTATGGGATCCTATTCCTGCCTCAGAGAACCCCAGACAAAACCTGTCCCCAGCCATCTCCGGAGTGCAGATTCCTCACGACAGGCCACTCGGGCCCCCATGTCAAGTGCATTCCCCTAGACCTGACAGCCGCCACCAAGGCTCGTGCAAGGGGCCAACCCGCCAGGACAATCCCCAGTTGCCCCAGTCTCGGTGATCCGACCCCGGCAGCCACACAGTCTGCTGGAGGAGCAGACCAGCTACTGCGTAGTCTCCCACCCAGTTCTGAGGGAGCAAAACTCCATTTTGACAGCGCTGCGCCTTGAAGGTTCCCCGCTGACAGCGCTCAGAATCAAAGTGGAGCCAGAAGGGTCGGCCCTCAGACTACAGCCGGTCGGACCGAGGAGTGCTGGGACCCGGGCTTCCTGCCTGCTCCTTCAGGAGCCACATTCTGTTTCCAAAGCCCAGGGACCCCGCTGAGGACCCCAAGCTGGTCTGGGCTGCGGGGGCTCCTGCCTGAACTCTGCAGCGACACCCCGACCCTGTGCACCACTGCTTTTGCACGGCATGGGGGACCTAGGCTGGAAGGCACCCAGTCCCTGTCAAGGGCGTTTCTGGCCCGGGCTGCACGTGCTCAGCCCCCTGTGGAGGGCCCAGGCCAGTGTGAGGACAGCTGAATCGTCCTCACCGTCATCCACACAGGAAGGCGGGGCTCTGGGTTTCAGGAGGGTCTAAGAAAATGCTGGGCAAAGCAGGGTCACTACCCCCAAAGTCACACAGTGCCAGCAGCACACGCAGCACGTGGCTCGGAAGGGCTGCAGCAGGTGCAACCCTGAACGCAGGCTCCCTGAACTGGCTCCCAGCTGCTCTGGAGCCTGAGCTCACAGCGGGTGCCTTCAACCAGCCTGGCGCCCATGCACCTTCCTGTTGAAGGCACAGGCAGCAGCGACACTGACTTCAGGCTGACAGCTGGGGAACCCAGGGCCACAGGGCATGGTGAGCCAGCAGAGAAGGCAGGGTGGGAGAAGGCTGCCGCCCCACAACCCTGGCCCCAGCCTGCTCAGGGCTGTCAGCTACCAGGCTCCCCCTTGGACAGCAGGTTTTCTTCTCTTCGGGTACTTTGTCCCAGACCCATGTATCGGACACAGCCTATCTCTTCTATCAACCAAAAGAGGTGACTGGAGCGTCACAAGGAAACCTGGCAGCAACCACACCCACAGACAGGAGCCAAGTGGCCAGAGGGGACACAGAGCCCACAGCTGACCAGAGGCGGGCTGGCTCCCCAGGAGGGTGGTGTAAGTGTGACTGTCTTTTTCTACATCAAGAAGGTAGGCAGCAGAGGAGAGAAGGAACCAAGAGCCAAACAAAAGCAGGGGGGTCAGGCCAGGCTCGGAGCATGGGGTGGAGCGTGCTGTCCAGTGAGAAGCTCACCCCACATGCGCCTCGGAGCTCGGCAAGGAGCTGCACCAGGACTGTTGTGCAGCCTCCACTCCAGACCTTTCAGGGAGCCCCGGCTACTGCCCTGGAAGCCTTACCCAGCAGTCAGTGACCAAGTACACAGTGAGTCCCTGGCAGAGCAGCTCCTCGGTCCTCCGGGCTAAGCCCCCTGCCTGGTGAGTGCTAAAGCCAAAGCCATGGACCAGCCATGCCCCACAGAGGGGGGCAGGCCATCACGGGTCTGAATGCAGGTGCCCCGTGGCCCCAAACCCTTTGCCCAGGAAGGACACAGCTTACCTCCGGGAGCAAAGCCCTCGGTGAGAGTCTGCACTGTGGAGATGTGTGCGATTTCGATTTCATAGTGACTGTTCCCATCCAGAACCAAGCATCTACAAGGGTTCCATGGTGTCACTGCCACCCGCAACCCTGGGCAGTGCCATCAAGGGCCGCACAGGACTCTGGCTCTTACCTCTGGTTGTTGGAAAGACGACAAACCATGGTTTCAGGTTTCTCTGAGTTTCCAAAGGTCACAAAGAAGGTGGCTCCTTGCGAGATAAAACCAAATGTGCAAATGTGAGCTGCTTTTACACCAGTGGTGGCGAGCCGTTAGCACTTCCAGTGACAGAGCCCACTGTGCCACAGGGCCCCACCACTGCTTCACTCTCCCTCCCCAGGCTGGTCCTCCCGAGACACTCGTGACAGCTCTCCCAAGCAAGGAGGCAGTACTGGGTGGAAGACCTAGGAAGCAAAGCGAGGGCACATGCTGCTTTGTAGCTGCTGCGAAGAAAGGAGATGGGTGTTCATCACAGAGCCCCAGAATAAACAGTACCCTACTCCAAGAGCTGGCCAGGATGGGGCCCAAATGGGAGGAGGCGCTGCCCCTCGCCCTCAGGACACCCCTCTCGCTCTCGCTCCCAGGATGTGGCTCAGAGCCAGCTCTGCCCCTGCCACAGCTGCCAGGCTCCCTGGGCCACAAAACCCCCGCAGCAGCTCCCTGCTGGAGAGGGGCTGCCAAGCATGGGCCTCCCTGCCCAGGCCCAGGGAGGCCAGAACTAGAGCTTCAGACAGCACTTCCATCTCAAGGGAAGCGACTGCTGCTCAGCTGCTTCTAGATGAGCCCAGAAGAAAATGGGGAGGGGCGGAGAAAGGACAGAACACCTCTTCCAGCCACAGCGGGACACAGAGGGGAGGCTCTGCCGGCTTACCGCTCTGGAGCACCTTGAGCTGCTTGTCGTAGAACTCCGCCTCCCGCAGGGACACCAAGGCGCACTCCGCGCACTGCCGCACCGGGTCCACAAAGCACATGCGCCGCAGTGGCACCTTCTGGCTGCAGCACCTGTCACAGAAGCACTTCCCGCAGCGCCGGCAGTGGTGCTGGCAAGGTGGAGAGCAGTGAGCGGGGCTAGCGCTGGCCATGCTGCCAGAACAGCCCAGGCCCACTTCCACACGGGCCCCTCACACGGTCCCTTAACACGGCCAGGCTCGCCCCAACTGGGAAATGAGGCCTTGTTTTGAAATAACGGTCAAAGCAGTGCTTTGGGCTCCTCCACCTGTCCAGTCCCACTGCCCAGGATGCCCTGCGTGGGCTGCCTCAGCTGGGGCACAGGGCTCCGGGCGGACCTGGGAGCCCCCGGGGCCCGTGCATGGGAGCTGCACCGTCGACTCTCCCAGTGGAACCCCCAGGGATGTAGCTCCACCTGAGTTCAAAGTGACCCCACAACAGCCATCCCCTCCCAAGCACGTGGCTCCTGGAAAGCGGCTCAGGGTGCTGGGGGCCAGCCAGGCCAATCTCCCACTGCCCCAGGCAGCCTCCGCTCACCTTCCGGGTGATAAAGTCGAACTTGGCGTCACACTGCATGCATCTCGAGCACTAGGAGAGAGCACAGTGAGATCCTAAAATCTGTTCTGCGGATAAGGCAGGGCCAGGAGGTGACAGAAAAGACTGGCGAGAAAGCCAGCCTCCTGTCCCACCCAGGGCTGGCCTGCGTGCCGGGCCACGAGGCTGACTTTCCTGAGCCGAGTCCACACAACAGTATCTTGGGTCAGTGGCACCCAGTTCTGTCACAGGTACCGGAGTCTGCATGAACGGGCCGCGACTTTCCACAGCAGGACCCAACCTGCACCAGGGAGCCACCCCACTTCCTAAACGAAGGGGGGAAATCTGCAGAAGGGGGGGCCCTCCAGCTGACGGAAGCCCATGGCTGCGACAGGAAGGCGGTTCTGGGCTTCACTGTCTTGTGTGTGCTGTGAGGATCTGGAGAGGGTCTGCAGGAAGCCGCAGAACTCAGGATGAGGTGGTCAGGTCGGATGCGGGTGATGCCGGGCCTGCAGGTGCTCTGGAGATGCTTCCTCAAGCAGGGGCGAGGAGGGGATTCTCAGACCACGGCTGGGGCTCTGGCCTGGCTTTTTGGAGACAAGTCTCTGTACCCGTGACCCTGGGAGTGTGGAGGCCAGGCTGAGTTGCAAGGGGCCTGGGGCTGCACGAGTGGCCGCAGCACAGGCACTGCCAGCGCCCTCTGTGCTTCCCCCTGGAGTTTATGAGCCAGAACCACACAGTCCAGCACAGTCCATTTCACTTCCGGGACCTGGCAGAGGGTGGTTTCCTAGCAACACCCAGAGCCGAGAACAAACGCACTCCAGGACGCCTGCGCTGTCTCCAGATTCCCTGGACCCCATCCTGCGGCCAGCAGGGTCACCCTGACCTGAGGCAGATATTCTCAGCCAAGTGCAGCACACTGGGTGCCAGCCGGCAGGAGTGCTCGCTCCCCCCACTCGGGGCTCGTCCAGGCGCCCACCCGGGACCTTCCCAGTCATCTAACGTGGACCAAGCCATGGGACCGCACGTACTCCAGCTGTGGGAAGGCAGCCAGAGGCTCCCATGCTGCTGGGAGGCCTGAGCTTCCCCACCCAGAGGAGAGGGGTGGCCAGGGGCCCACCGCCAGAGGACACTGCAGGAGGGGGCTCCGCGCCTCCAAACTGAAACCAGTCGCCACAGAAGCGAGTGTAGAAGGTGCACTCAGGGACAGCGCACTCAGGGACGGCGCACTCAGGGACGGCACACTCAGGGACGGCACACTCAGCCCACCGGAATCACTCACACGCAGTGGTTTCATGGAGGCCCGCCCAGGCCCTGCCGCTGGAGCTCCTGAGCAGCTGCCTGCACTACGCCTGGAGGGACAAGCCCCCTGGACCCGAGACGGGGAGACCTTGGGGAGACCTTGGCCAGCCGGGTCTCAAGAGCCAGCGGCCCAGCCAGCCTCCCACCACACGTGTCCCAGCCCGGCCCAGGACCACAGGGCCCTCCAGGGACACACTCGCCCACAGCCCCACACCTGATGGCCGGAACCTGGGGCAGCATCAGACAGCTGGCTGAGCCCACTGAGCTGGGCCACTGTGTCCCCCGAAAACAGTCAGTCCCTGCCACGAGGACCCCGCTCTGGAGGGAGTCCAGCCACAGTGCAGCCCTCGGGAAGCCAGTGGAGGCCTCTGCACACTTGTCCTGCACCCTGGCGTGGTCTCTGCAGAGGGCAGCCTCCGTACCCCACCCTTAGCAGAGCCCCGAGACCCCAGTGTTAGGCTAGTGACCCAGCAGCTCACTCAACAGCGAGATTGGGCGGGGCCTCCAGAGGCCAGTGGAAGCCTCTGCTTTTGCAACTGTGGACCCAGATGACTCCCTCAGTGCAGCGTGTCCCTTCCCTTCCAGGGGAGAACCCACGGGAGGCAGGACCAGAAATGGCAACACAAAACAAGAGCACAAAAACAAAACAAAATGAGCGCCTTGCCTGGCAATGGGTGGTCAGACCTCAGCACAGGGACAGAGGGCTGGCTGTGCACCCTCCCAGGGCTCGGGCCCAGAGCACCGCAGGACAGAAATCAGCCCTGCCTGGCCACAGCCCTCCCGCGCGGCCTGGGCTGGCTCCCTGGTAACAGGGCCGGGTGAGGGGCTCAGTGTCACTGCCCTGCTGGGCAGCTCCTGCCACCCACTGCCCCACGTGGACCCTGCAGGTGCACGTGCTCCCCAGAGGCAGTGGCTTCCCCGAGCCCTGGGCCTCCCAGCCATGCACATTCCACACAGGCTGTGCGTGGGCGGTTACCCAGGTGCACCGTCACATCGTGTACCGGCTCTGCAGGCGCCCGGCAGGGTCCTCTGGGCCCACAGCGCAGTGTGCGCTCCCCGGGGAAAGGCGCCTTGCAGAGCACCGGCTGCGGGAGAGAGGCCATGGCTGCGCCCAGGTGCCCTTGCCTCGGCACCCACACAGGCCAGCCGTCAGCCTGGTGTCACCCACACTTCACTCACGGCCACGCCCAGGAGTGAAACCTGTGCCCTTCAAGATATGTTACTCTAACCAATGTGCCTACTCAGAAGATAGGCTGAAGGTTAAAGTAATTTCCTGTTGATTTATTAGTGAAAAGAAATGTTTCAAATTTCAAACAGCAATTTAACATGAAAATAAAATAAGGGAATAAAACTGGTGAAAATAGGAGGGTAAAACTGCTGCCACATAAGCAGCCATGCCAAGGGAAATCCAGTGACAGCAAGCCTGAGCCGCCGGCCACCCTGAGGGGGCTCAGGACTCTGCTGCAGGTGACAGCTCTTTCAGGAGGCCAAGAGGACACCAACGCCCAGGAGCCGAGTGACTCATGTCCCCACCAAGCGCAGCAGAGGTGCCCGAAACCTCGGCCTGGGCCCCACCCCCTGGTGTCCAGTGCAGGCCAGGCAGGCTTCACGGCACCTGAAGCTGGGAGGACCGAGTCCCACCACTGCCCAGCAGGACAGACGGTCGGCAGCTCAGGAGCCGCCGGGCCAGCATGCGCACAGTCTGTGACAGATGCACAGGACCAAGGGAGCCCAGAGGGAGAGGGCAGAGTCCACCACTGGTCCCTGCCCAGGACAGACCTGGCACGAGGCGCACGCTCGCCCAAGCTCCCTCCCTGCCTGTGGAGGGGGAGCAGGAGGCCTGGTGCTGTCACGTGAGCTCCCCAGGTGGAAGGAAGGAAGGAACCAACCCTCCTTTCTGCAGAGGTCCCAGGCTCGCTGACTCCTGCCAAGTAAAGTTTTCAGGACGCGTCAGTAAGAAGCACAGAGGGTTTATCAGGCAGGTTTGGGACTGCATCAAGGATGAGCATGGCGGCGCACACCTGTAATCGCAGCTCTTGGGAGGCAGAGCCAGGAGGATTGCCATGGGTTTGAGGCTAGCTCGGGCTACACAGTGAGTTCAGGGCCAACCTGAGATACAAAGCGAGACCCTATCTCAAAAAACAAAAACAGGGCTGGGGATTTAGCTCAGTGGTTCCCCGGTACCAAAACAACAACAACAAAAAGTGCAGTGAGGCGCTCAGAGAAACAAGACTTGAGATGTGCTGTTTCCTGGGGCAGGGCCAGCTGTGCTGCTCTTGGAGGGGTGGAAACCTGCAGCAGGTGCCCACCCCCAGGGCACTGGCCTGTTCTACAGGTGTGGGCAGTCTTGGGGGGGTAGGTAATTAAAGCGACCTTTGGATTCGCTCTGCCTGCTCCTCTATCTCAGGATCATCCTGCCCTTAACAATGAAGCCCATGAGGACTCAGTGCTCCTGAGGAATCAGGTGTGCCGGGTCAGGTCGGGCAGGAGCCTGAATTTACCCAAAGGAATGCCAATGTGGATCGCCTTGGGAAACTTCGCTGGGTCCTGGAAGCTACAGTCTTCTGGGTCAGGGATTTAGCTCAGTGGTTCCGCCGCCTGCTTCACAAGTGAAAGGTCCTGAGTTCGACCCCCAGTACTTAAAAAAAAAAAGTACAATCTTCAGTTCTTGTCTCCTTTCTGGCTTTTTTTCTATCCTACCTCAGTGGCACATGCCTGTAATCTCAGCCACTCAGGAGGCTGAGGCAGGAGGATCACAAGTTCAAGGATAGCCTGGGCAACTTATCAAGACTTTGTCTCAAAAACAGAAAGGGGGCCAGGGATTTAGCTCAGTGGTTTTGCTGCCTGCTGCACAAGCTTAAGGACCCAAGTTCGATCCCTGGTACCAAAAACAAACCCTTCTCAACCTCTGGCAGCTTTAGCTCACAGGATTCTAAGGTCGCGTCCACACTCTCTAGCAGTGTGCAGGCCTGGGCTCCATCCCCAGCACAGTGAGGGGGAAAAAGCTGCCCTGAGAAGCCCTAGACGGGGCGGGGCGAGGAGGTGGAGCAACCCATCTCAGCTCCCACTCCCAGGGCACCAGGCCCGAGGTAAACTGAGCCACCAAACAAGAGCCCAGAAGAGGCTGAGGGCAAAGCCGGCGACAGCGTGCCCTGCCCCTCGGTGCCCGAAGCAAGTGGAACGCCAGTAGGACGCCGAGGCGGCGCCCAGTCCCTGTGGAGGCCCCAACCGCCTCCTCTGCTCTGGCACCGCTTCTGGGCTCTGGGTCGTCAGCGCTAACGGTGGTCAGTACACGGAGCTTCCCAGGTGGTCACCGCGAGATCATCGACACAGACCAGGCCCAGAATGACGAGATGAGCGCTCGTCACAGGGTGGGGGAGGCCGCGCCTCATCTGCAGCTCTGAGAACAGCTGCGCCGCCCTGGGGCCTTCAGGCTCGCCACCAGTCAGACAAAGGCGGCCCGCGGGGGCCGCCGTGACCACGGAGGACAGGGTTCCGGAGCCGCGGCCCTCGGTTCACCGCGCTTTCACAGCCAGCTTCTCCTAAGCAGCGGAAGCCCTCAGCCAGCCGCGGGTTCCCAGGACTCAGGTTCCCAGGCAGAATCCCTGGCGGGTGCTGGGCCCGCCCGCTGAGTCCGGAAGACCTGGGGAGGCCCGCCCAGCCCTGGGCCGCGGGCCGGAACCCCCAGGGCCAAGGTCTCAGGCTTCGCCTGGGCCCCAGCCCCTGACCCGGCAGGCGCGGCGGAGCCTCCGGTCCTTCTCCTCTGCAGGGTGGGGTGAGCGCCTGCTGCCTCCGGAGGCGCTGCTGTCTGCACACAGCGGCCCAGGCCCGCCCACCCGCCTACCCCGGGCTCTCGGGCCCAGACGGCCCAGTCCCAATCCTCCCAGCACACCGGGCACGTCTAGGCTCCGAAGCCAGGCCCCATCGGCTTCGAACCTCTTTTTGTGTTTGCTTGTCTTTTGCTAGTTGAACCTCAGGGCCTCACACCTGCGAGGCAAGGACTGCACCACCGAGCTACAACCCCAGCCCTCAAGATACACTTCTCGGGCCGGGGATGTAGCTCAGTGGTGCCACCGCCCGCCTCGCAAGCTCAAGGTCCCGAGTTCGATGCCTGGTACCAAAAACAAACAAACCCTTCTCAACCTCTGGCAGCTTTAGCTCACGGGAGTCTAAGGTCGAGTCCGCGTGTCAGAGTCCAGCTGCGCTGCGGCGCGGTCCTGGCTCCCCGCCCTCTGCATCGCGAACCCAGCGATGGGACACCGGGCCAGCGCCTCGGGAGCGGCACAGGGTCCTGGGTGGCGCACAGTGGAGAGTGGCTCCGCGCCGCCCCGTGTGCCCAAAGCAGCCCCGCCGATCCCCACTCCCCACGCCGGGGGCCGCACTGCACGGCGAGCACACGTCCTGTTCAGCTGGGCTCGGGAGGCCGAGGCAGGTGGGCCGCCGAAAGTTCAAAGCCATTCTGGGCTACGCAGCGAGCTCAAGCCAGCTTGACACAGCGAGGTCCGCCTCGAAAAGAAAACCCTGTCCCGCGACTTTGTGGGGGACAGCGGGCAGAGGCTAGGGCAGCGGGGGACGTGGCAAGCTCCAGGCTGAGAGCAGCGCCCCGCCCCGCCCTGTCCTCTGGCCCCGCCGAGGCGAACGGCGCCCCTGACCTCCCTCCGACGTCTCGGGAGCCGCCTCCGCGCTCAGCCGGGTTTCCGAGGAGTCCGGAGCTCACGTGCCTTGGCCCGGTCCAGAGCCGCCGGGCGGGGTCGCGGGCGGCCCAGGCGAAGTGCGGAAGGACTGGCCCGGGCCGGGAGCGGTCCCCGCACCTCCGCCGGCTCCCGGCCCCCGAGGGACTACACCACCGCTCCAACCGCCCCGCAGGGCGCAGGGCGGGCGGGGCCGGCACGCACCTCCTTGTCCGGGACCCACGGCGGCTCCTCCAGGCCGAACGGGCTCCCGAAGGCGCGGTGCTCGGGCACCATGCGCAGCCCACTGGGCGAGCGCACCAGCTTCTTGGCGTCGCGGCGCGCGGCCACCCCCGAGGACATGTCGCCACCTCAGCCCTCGCGCCACCGCCCGCACTCGCCTGCACCCCTCCGACGGCCCGACCCGAGTGGCTGACAGCGACGACGCCCAATCACCAAGCCGCGCTCCGAGGCTTGGCCAATCGAGGCTAAGTCTCCATCCCATCACGGTCCCTTCCAATCCACATAAGGGCCCCACCCCTACCACCCCGAGGTCGGCCACCAATCGGCGGTGAGGGCCGGCTTGGGCGCGGTTCGCCGCTCTCGGGACGACTTCGACTTTGGATTGGTTAATTCGTCAAGCCACGTAGGCGTCGCTTTCTTTCTGATTGGTACGGACGACTCAGGACACCCGGCGTTCATTGGAAGAGAAGGCTGAGAGGGGCGGGACGGCGCGAAGAGGCGAGCGGAGCGCGAGCGAGGTGTGGCGCGGGCCCTTAGTCTCGGGACTTCGGGGGAACTTGGGCCTCCGCGGCGGGCGGGAGGCTACGCCGGAGCCGACCGGGAAGGCGGGCCGGGGTCAGGGCGTCAGGGCGCGGGCGCGCGGGTCTCTTGCCGAACCGCCCCGGCCCCCGAGGCCCTTCGGCTGCTTTGGCCCGGGTTTGCTGCGGTACCGGCGCGGGGCGATTGAACCCGGAGCCTTTGACCCCGGTCTCACGAAGTCGCCGACGTTTCCCGGGCTGGGCTCGAACTCGCAGCCCTCCCGCCCCAGCCCGCGCAGCTTGCTCGAGGGGGAGCCCCAGACTCGCCCGCCCCGCCCAGAGTCCTACAGTCCAGGGCACCCGGCCGCTGATCGGGCCCCAGCGGCGCCCCGGGCCGGGCCGGCCTCCGAGTTCTCCCTGCTGCTCCCTCGGTCCAGGCCGCCACGGCCGCCGGCGCCCTTATCCGACGTCAGCCGCCCCGCGCCGCCCCGGGCCTGCCGCGCTCCGGGGTGGGCACTGGGGCCTAGGCAGCGCGTCCTGGAGCCCAGCTTCCATCTGCCCGCTCGAGAGCGGGCGGCTCCTGTGACCCGGGCCGAGTCACCAACAGGCAGGCGCCCCTCCCAGGTCTCCATAGAGACGCCCTGGGGGACACCTGGGCGCCGCGGTTTGTCTGCCGACGGCTCAGGGCCGAGACCCGGGACCTGGGCGTGGCTGTGGCCTGAGCTGGGCTTCTGAGCTGCCCGCCCCTTGCTGGCCCTGACAGCGCCCCAGCCCAGCGCCCACGACGGAGGCACCTACACCCGCCTGGGCCCGGGAAGCCCGTCACCCACGAGGACATGGAGTTGGACCAGCTGGACCTGAACCCCAGGACCCTCGCGGCCGCGAAGAGAGGTGGGCTCCCTCCTCCCGGGAGAGCGCTGTGCAGAGACCAGAGGCTCGAGGAAGACAGGGCCCGGCCGGCCTGGGGCCCTGATCCGAGGGACACCGAGGGTTGTGGGCAGGAGAGGCCGGACTCCCGCCCGAGGCCGCTGCCCACTGCCCTCCCAGTCCGCCCGAGTTCACAGCTGCTGCTTCCGGTGCTGGCTGGGCGGTGCGGAGTGGGCGGGGCCTTTGCACCGAGCTCTCCAGCTCTTCTCACTCACTCTTCCGAGACAAGGCGCCCACTGCGCTCCCCGCCGCCCCTCCGAGTGCTGAAGGGTGGGCGCTCCCCGCGTGTGTGCTCCCCGTGCAGGGCTGTGGTCCTGGTGCTCCCTCCGGGCCCCGCGTGTCTGTGGGCTGCTGGACCCCGAATACCGTCCAGTGCCAGGCAGGACTCTGCCGTCCCGCCAATCCATCCTTGGTGTGGCGTCCTGGCCTCCTGCTCAGCCCTCGGGGTCACAGAAAGACTGCTGCAGTGTAGGGACCGAGGGGAACAGGCCTGACCTCCCCTCGCGCCAGCCAGGGCCCTGCTGCTGGGAGCCGGGCGGCCCGGCAGAGCCTCCCTCCCGAGGCTGTTTTGACTGAAAGGGACCCACCAGGCCTATCTGGCTTCTCTGTGTGTCCGCCTCTTTCCTTGGGGTTGCATTTTCTTTTTCCTTTTACCCAGCCTGTGCTCTCTCTGCCCAACCTTTGGTGCTGTGTCCACACAGTGACTGGATCGGGGGCGGTTTGCATCCTCTGATGATGCAAACTGTTGTCCCATTTTTGGCGAGGGTACTGGAGGGTGAACGACAGCCCCAGCTCTTTTTTATTTTACTTTTATTTCACTAAGTCACTAGGTTTCCTAGGCTAGGCTCAAACTTACGATCCTCCTGCCTCAGCCTCCCTGGGTGCTGGGAGTGCAGGCGTGCGCCCCCATGCCCAGCTCATTGTCCCCCTTGAGGCTTCTGGTGGAGCAGGGTGGCAGTCACCTTGCCTTAGCACCTGGGCCCCCAAGAGGCAGTCCCACCCTTCGCCAGCCATTTGTCATTCTCGGATTGCCTGGGGTGCCTGGGGTCCCTGCCCCATTACCCAGCACTCGGCTCAGCGCCCCGTCGCCCCTCACCATGTGTCTGGTGTGACCAGCCATCCTGTGGCCTCTGGTTTCAGCCAGGCTGAGGTCTGTGAAGGAAGTCCTGCACTTCTCGGGACCTGACCTGCAGAGACGCACCGGCCTGTCCAGCCCGGATGTCCAGCGCTTGCTGACAGCAGCTGCCTCACACCTTCGGGGCCAGTGCACACTCACAGGTGGGCGGGCGGCGTGTGCGCCGTGGGGCTGGGTCCTGGCCTTGCCAGTCCTGCCCTGCCGGACCATGGTCCTGGTGTCCCCAGAGGGAGCGGAGTGGACGGTGCAACTAAGCAGGATGGGGCAGCAGAGGGACAGGCCAGGGTCCCCCATGTGGGGCGCTGCGTCAGTAGGACTGGGCCTGTCCTCTGGGAACCCCTTGCACCTGGCCGGTGTGGGGCCCTGAGTCACTCGGTGGCCACTGCTGCCGCCAGCATGGGACTCCCCGTGAGTGCCTGGCAAGTCGCCAGGTCCCCCAGGCCGAATCCCACCCTGCCCCACCCCAGGGTGCAAGGCTCGGAAGGCTCTGGGTGGCCTGGCCGGGGCCCTCACAGAGCAGCCTCTGCCGCCGCTGATGGGTATGGACACAGGCCCTGGGGCCCTTGGGGCACAGGGCCCCTTCGAGCCTCCTTGTGCCTGCCAACGTTTTCCCCAGCCAGCCTCGGCCACGCAGAGCTGCCCTGTGGCCCTGGGCAGAGCCACGAGGGGTGCAGTCCAGCGGCCCTCACACTGGCCAGGGAGCACTGGGCCTGAGCTCAGCTCTCGTGACTGGGCCTCCTGTCCCCGCAGCGCTGCAGCTGCACCAGCAGAAGGAGCGCTTCCCCACGCAGCACCACCGCCTGAGCCTCGGCTGCCCACGGCTGGACCGGCTCCTGAGCGGCGGGCTGCCCCTGGATGGCATCACGGAGCTGGCAGGCCGCAGCTCGTCGGGGAAGACCCAGCTGGCGCTGCAGCTCTGCCTGGCTGTTCAGTTCCCGCGGCAGCACGGGGGCCTGGAGGCCGGTGAGTGCAACGGGCCAAGGCCCTGGTGTTTCCGGCTCATCTGCCTGCTCTGCGCTGTCCCCTGCCCTCCACTCTCACTCCTTTTCTCCCATGCCTTTGTTGTCCTGGTATGTGCTGGGGACGGGCCCAGGGCCTCACTGGGACGCTTGGCAAGCTCTCCACAGAGCCACTTCCCGGCCCCTTTCGAGACAGGGTCTAAGCTGCCCAGACAGGATTCGAACTCCGTTTTCCTGCCTCAGCCTCCAGAGTGGGGATCACAGTCGTGTGCCACCACCCTGCACCACTTCTTTCCCATCCCTGCCGGCCTGGCACAATGAAGTGGGTCTCCTTGGGGTCTCCTCAAGAGCACCGACGGTTTCCACCTCGAGTCCAGTTTATTTGGAGTCTCTTAGGAACCACTGCCTGCCTGGGATAGTGCAGATTCACGTGATTGGGTGCAGTGCCCCTGTGACCTAGGGGTTGTCATGTACAGCAGAGCTGACGTTCAGCCTTGAACACATGAACACCCAGCTGCCCCAGCACCACTTGGTGGAGAAACTTCTTTCCCCACTGCCTCATCACTGGTGGGGTTTTTTTTGGTTTTTTTGGTACTGGGGATCGAACTCAGGACCTTGTACTTGAGAGGCAGGCGGTGGAACCACTGAGCTAAATCCCCAGCCCAGCACTGTTTGTTTTTGAGACAGGGCCTCGTATAGTTCAGGCTGGCCTGGAAGTCACTGTGTAGCCCAGGCTGGCCTCAAACTTGTGGCAATCCTCCTGCCTCAGCCTCCTGAGCGCTGGGATCACAGGCTGTGCTACCCGCCAGCTCCCCAGCATCACTGTGGGGACTCGCTCGCCTGCAAACATGGGGGCACATCGTGGTGGCCAGGCTCTCGCCAGCTGTGGACTGTGATGTGCTTCCCAGCCGCGGGCACTGCTGGGGCTGCCACAGAGCCTGAGGAGGGCCCAGGACACTGCTGCTCCAGGACCAGGTCTCCTGGTTGCAAGGGGGTGGCCTTTGCAGAGCCCTGGACCCTGGTGATCCCCACGCTCCGCTGCCTGCACAGGCCCGGGTGGGCTGCAGCCCGGCATCAGGACAGAGCACTCAGCTCCTGCAGAGGCCAGTGGAGGGTGGGGAGAGTCCGCAGCAGACTGCACCCTGGGCACTCTGGCTCTGCAGGTGCTGTCTACATCTGCACGGAAGACGTCTTCCCCAGCAAGCGGCTGCGGCAGCTCATTGCCCAGCAGCCACAGCTGCGTGCGGATGTCCCAGGCGAGGTGGTCCAGAGCATCAGGTTTGGGGACCAGATCTTTGTCGAGCATGCTGCTGATGTGGTGAGTCTCTCTTTGGGCAACATGGACATGGGGCTGTGACCACGCTGCCTGGGTGGAGGACACAGAACCTTCGGGTGGGGGTCCCGCTGGAACCAGGCCTTGGAGCCCAGGCAGAGGGCGGGAGGGGCTGAGCCACCTGTGGCCGGGCAGCGGGGCCTGGCTGTCTGCCCTGCCACACGGGACACAGCCCCGCTCTGAGGCCCTTGTGCCTCCCGCCCCCGGCTCCCTCTACTCCTGCGGCCCCCGGGAGGGCAGGGACAGGGGCTGCCTCTGGAACAAAGCACTGCACCCCTCACGGCCACTGGCTGCCGGCCACCTAGGGGCCCTGGCTGAGCCCAGCAGGGCCATGCAGGGCTCCTGGGGGGTGGGGGGTGGAGTGCCGAGCAGGAGGAACAGGGATGGCGGCCGCACCCTCTCACACCCGGTGTCCGGGCCGGGCAGAGCCCAGTTCATGCTGTGGAGGAGAATCAACTAAAGGATGAGGGTATAAACCTTTACTTTTAAAAACTTTACAATAAAATACATCCTCACACACGCAGGGAGCTAAGGCCTGAGGGGTGACATGGGAGGCCGAGCAGGTACGGCGCAGTGTGTCCTACGCGTGGCCCCCAGGGACAGGGCAGTGCCCGCTGTCCTGGCCTGGCCACACCCCGGGGCCTGAGGCTGCGGTGGTTGGTAGTGTGGCCTCCCTGGCGCAGGCTGGCGACCGAGCACTCTGGGCCACCGAGGGGCCCCATCCTCGCCCTGGCCGTACAGGGCCAGCTCCGGGCCGCTCACGGTGGCGGCAGCTGCATCTGGCGCCCTACAGCAGGCCAGGCCCGGTTCACTGCGAGAGAGGCCGCGGGTCAGCGCTGGCTGGACAGAGCCTCCCGGGGCTCCCCTGCCGCCCAGCCCAGAGCGAGCCCTAAGAGTGCGACACTCACGTTGGTGCTAGCGTCTTCTAGGCTGCTGCTGTCGTTCTCCACGCACAGAGGCTCCGCTGGGGATGCCCTGGGGAGAAGCACAGACCGCGAGTCACTTTGGGCCAGACCTCGGTGCCGCAGATGACGCTGGGCTTCGGGCCCTGGGCCGTGTGCCTGGGCTGTCAGGTCTTGGCCGAGGCCTCCCGAGCCTTGCCGTGCACAGCCCCCACCGCTCCTCTCCATGCTGCTGCCCTGTTGCTGCCCTCAGCAGCCACCGCCCAGGCCCAGGACCACGGCATGGCGGCCCCAATGTGTGCAGACAGCCAAGGCATGACAGGTCCACTCGGTCATGTGCAGGACAGCCTGCCTGACAGTCACATCTGGGTGAAGGCGTGTCTGCCTGACAGCCAGGAGAGCCAGGGGCAGAGGGGGTGGCAGATGCGTGGGCCTGGGTGCCGGTGTGGTGAGGGGGACGAGCAAGGGTCCAGGGACCGAAGCTTCTGGAGCTGGACCTCGGTGAGGGGCACAGGGTGTCTGCCCCAGGCGGCAGGAGGCAGCCCACAGGCCAGCGCCCCGGGTCAGCGTCTCAGTGACCCCATGACGCCTGCCCCCGCAGGATGCCCTGCTGGAGTGTGTGAGCCACAAGGTCCCCATGCTGCTGTCCCGGGGCCTGGTGCGCCTGCTGGTTGTGGACTCCGTGGCGGCCCCGTTCCGCTGTGAGTTTGACAGCCAGGCCTCGGTGGCCCGCGCCAGGCTCCTGCAGTCCCTGGGGGCCACACTGCGGCGGCTGAGCAGCACCTTCCAGAGCCCCGTGCTCTGTGTCAACCAGGTGAGCCCGGAGGTGTGGGATGCGGGGCCAGGTAGCCTCTGCACTGCCCAGGGCCACCACACTGACCCCACTGCTCCTGCAGGTGACAGAAGCCGTGGAGCAGCCGGGGTGAGTGCTGGTGCCACTGTCCCTGTGTGCATCAGTGTGTGTGTGTGTGTGTGTGTGCATCAGTGTGTGTGTGTGTGTGCATCAGTGTGTGTGTGTACACAAGCACTCGCACATGGGCAGCTTCAAGCACTAGTGAAAGGCAGCGTCCCCTTCTGTCCCAGCCCCCAGGATGAGCGCCTGTGCCCAGCCCTGGGTATCACCTGGGCCAACCAGCTCCTCGTGAGGCTGATGGCCGACCGCGTCCGCGAGGAGGAGGCCTCGTTGGGCCCATCCGGCCACCCAGCCCGGACCCTGCGGGTGGTCTTCGCACCCCACCTGCCCCCTTGTTCCTGCTCCTACACAGTCAGCGAGGAGGGGGTGCGGGGGTCCCCAGAGACAGCGGCCTGCTAACGTGGGGTGGCTGCAGAACAGCGTGGCCAAGCTCCTGAGAAGCCCGATTCTGACCAGCCAGGAACACGATCACCAGGGTCTCCCATGACAACAGCGCCACCTCCTCTGGAGAAGAGGGTGCGGGATGGAGGTGCCCTCTCCTCCCAGGTCTCACCCACAAGCTTGTTGGGTCTCAGCATTTGTCCCCACACTGGGGCCTCGGAAGGACGGATGGCTCACCAGGGCTGGTGGCTTCTGGGGTCTCCAGGGTGCCCTGCTTTCTGCGGTCTCCATGACTGCCCGGACAGGATGAGCAGCCTTCCTGGGCTACCAGCACCTCCCATAAAGGCCGCAAGACCTGACTCCAGGCAGCCCACCCCAGGCCACAGCGGGCTGTGGAGACAGCTTAGTGCAGGGCAGAGGACATACTGTGCTGACAGCTTGTGAGAGGGACCTGTGGGAACAAGCCATGTCCGCATGCCCACCCCACAGCCCTGGGATGGGACCACTCGTCACCGTGTGATGGACATGGTGGCAGCGCCCGGTACTTTGCTTGGAGGCCTCTGTCTGCCCAGCGCTGCCACTGACCTGCAGTCTCCTCCCCACTCTTGGGCGCCTGTTCTCCCACGGCCCCGAAACAGGACAGCTCTCATCTGCAGGGCAGGACGGTCACCAGCCACTCAGCCACCTGTGCCCTGAGAGTGACCAGCTGCTGCACGGCGCCAGGGCTGTGCTGTCTGGGGTTCGGTTTTTATAGAACCGTCCTTCTGCAAGAGTGCGGGGACTGCACAATAGGAATAAACATTTTATTTTGGCAATTAAACACGGACAATTCAGAACGACCTTCTAGGTGACTCGCATCAATGATGAGAAAACAAACCGCAGTGCCAGAAGGACACTGCAACCCCTCAAGCTCAAGCTCCCCAGGGCCTGGTGCGTCTTCAAAGCCACAGCAGCCGGACAGCCCCAACCCTCACTGCACAGCACACAGACAGGAGTGGGTCACACACCTTCCCAGGACAGCCCAGGCCATTATGGCAGCGGTACCCGTCACGTGCTGAGCGTGTCACGACAAACGCTGAATTTCCAATGGCCTGATCTGCCAAGCAGTGTTCTGACCCCAAGTGACGGTGCAGTTTTGTTCTACAGTGCTGAGGGGGGAGCCCAGGCTCTTAACACTGAGCTGCATCCCCAGCCAGAAGGTTTCAATCCTAGAAAATTTTTTTTTTTGTACCAGGGATCAAACTCGGGTCCTTGCACTTGCGAGGCGGGCGGCGGAACCACTGAGCTAAATCCCCGGCCCTTCAATCCCAGAAATTAATCCCTGCAACCCCAACACAGAGAGTAAGTGCCGCGGGGAAGCAGCCCACGCCGGCCTCCACAGGTCAGCCAGCGAGGGCACCACTGCGCACACTGCTGCGAGCCACATCTGGCCTATCTGCTGCTTAACGTGTTTATGACTGTGGTGAGGAAGTGCTGTGGCTCACACAGGCCCCGTCACTGTGAGGGACAGTGGAGAGCCTTCTGGAACATGGGGCCCCCACACTACGGCACGGGCCAGAGCAGCTCCCGTACAGCAGTCGCACCTCTGCCCTGGTTCCATGGAGGTGCATCTGCACCCAGAAAGCTGGGGGCGTAAAACCCAGTTCTCTGGGCTCTGTTTACTCGCGTGGTGCTCTGTCCCTCCAGGGGACTCTGGGTTTCAATGCAGCACCCTCTCCCAGCTGGGGACGGCAGTGGCACCGGGCCTCCCCCGAGGCCTGCGACACCTTGCAGATGTCTGTGGGGAGTGGCTGCTCACCAGACTGCTGGGATCGCCTCCTGATCCTTGGCTTTGCGCTTCCGGTGGAGATAGCGCGAAGCTGGAGCAGGGCAGCAGTAGGCCTGCCCCGTGCAGTCAGGGACAGGAGGTGCCACTAAGTCACCTGGAACGTCACATCACCCCAAGTGCAGCCCCTGGGGCCGGACCCCAAATGTGCCATCTCTAGCCCTGGGCCCACATCCAAGCAGCTGGGCCAGTGCCACAGGCCCCACGCAGCGGAAGATGGCCAGGTGTCAGACTGAGCAGGCCAAGACCGTCCCCGCGGCCCAGACAGCCACTTGGCAGTCCGCTGCACTTGCCGCAGTCGTGCTCTCCCAGCCTTCAAGACAGCCTGCCACACTGCCTGGGGTGCACCGGAAGGACCCATCAATACCCAGCGTGTGAACAGGTGTTGCAAGTGGAAGACACATGTCCAGGCCCTCAGTGTGCAGGGGCCCGCGGCTGCAGTCACCAGCACCCCGTGGCCTCGAGCAAGCACCTGGGCCGGGAGCCCCCGTCCTCCAGTCCCTTCGCCCCGCAAGGCCCCACCCGAGCTGTCTGCCCTCTGCCGCCTCTCCACTTCCACTGAGGCAAGCCCACCATCCCAGCTGACGTGCTTCGGTTTCTTGGTTTACGGATTCCAGACCTAAGCAGACGCTGGTGGCAGGACAGCGGGTGGCGACGCTCGAGTGGCTGAGCGCAGCGGCTGAAACTGTCTGCCTCTCAGGCTGCTGCCCACTGCAGTGCCCAGGCACATGGCCTGCGGAGCCCAGGGGTCACCGTCCAGCAGGCCTGGCACTCTGTTGCTTATCCAGCTCTGGCCAGACCCTCAGTGGGCCAGGTTAGTGTGGCTGCCACACAATGATTTCGCTCCTGCGTGAAAAGCAAATGGGAAATTTATACCTAACCATACTACCAAGAGTGCCAGCCCCACTCGGTCTCAGGCCTCACAGCGTCAGCTGCCCAGGGCCCAAATATGCACACGTGGACAGCAAGAGACCAAAGGCTAGGACTGCATCCCCACAGGCCTCTGCAAAACAAACGCTGGCCCTGGGCTCGCAGGGTTGCTGCGAGGGGCCCGGAACTTGCAGAACACGAGGCCCTGGGTTCAGACTCCAACACCAAAAACCCATCCTTCACTCAGAACCAGGAATGCTTACAGCAAACAGCTGGCACCCTGCAGTCTCTAGCTTCCGCCCGAGGCCTGGAGGAAGAAGCACGGCCTGTCCTGACGGCCACATGCCATCACCTGGGTCTGCAACACCAAGAGGCCTGCTGCCCGGCACCTGAAGGGCCGGTTCTCCAGCCCCCCAGGGCCTGGCCACAACCCACAGCCACACTAGAGGTGCGAGAAACACAACCTGAGCAGGCTGGCTGTGACGAGCAGAGGCCGGGGTGACTGAAGTGAACCCTGGGACGGTGACAATGTACAGTGTCAGTCGGGGTGCAGGTCCTGAAAACCTTTACAACACGCTGTCCACGGGTTAGTTATTAACTTACTGGAGCCTAGTTAACAACTAGCCAAGCGCTGACATGGTCACAATCAACTGCCCAGGTCAAACTGGTGCCGCGTCGGGGGTGAGCACCCCCACCCACCCCGCAGCCACAGCAACAGCCAGTGGGCCAGGGGGCCCGGGGGCCTCCGAATCCCACACACCCAGAGGCTGGCCATGCTCCATGCTGCACCCACACACAGTCGCGCAAGAGCAAACGAGTGGCACATCGGCCAGCCGGCAACAGGAGAGGCCAGGGCCCTCGGGACAGCTCCTCCTGCCTCAGCCACCACCTCCACACTGCTGCAAGGAGCACATAGCCCGAGGGCACAGGTGGAGGGCAGCAGCCCCGGGCCATCACAGGCTGTGGGTGGCAGCAGGTCTCAGGGTGCAGGTCCCCAGTGACACTGAGGGCAGTGACGGCAGCTTACTCTGAAAAAGCAAAGTAATAAAACTGGAAAGAACAAAACTCTACTCAGACAAGTTCCGCAAAGGAGCCCAGCCCCGAGCTGATCAGAACTCTGGCCACAGGGTGACCCTGGGCAGCGGGGACCTCGGCCCTGAGGAGCCAGGCCTGTGGCGGAGGTCCCAGCAGAGCGTTCAGTGGAGCAGGACAGCAGGGCGATGGTGCTGTCTGGAGACTCCAGGACCAAGCCTTGGCCTGTTACAACACACCTCACCTTCTTGAAAATCTAAAGCAACAACTCCTTATGACAAAGCCACACGATTCCAGCCTCTGTTGAACACTGCTTTTCTCCCCATAGCAATAACTGCAAGGGATGTGATAGTTGTAGCTGACATCTGACCTCTGAAAGATTAAAATGTCAAAGAGTTTAAGCTAATGCTAATTTACAAATAATGCCTATCTACAGTAAACATGCTCCAGTGCCAGGCTTTGTAATATTAAATCCCCACTTTTCACTGCGAAGGCTTTCTTTGAACATGTTTTTAAAAAATCAAAGAACCAGGCTGGAGATTTAGCTCAGTGGCATCGCATCTGCGTCCCAAGGGCAAGGTCCTGAGTTCGGTCCCCAGTACCAAAAAAAGAAAAAGAATCAAAGAACCCTATGAATTTCTGAAGCCATCAACCTTTTCGGCCAGTGACAGGAAGCTACTGGCTCCTTCTCGTCCTGTCCTGGAGGCAGCGGACAACCTCCTGCGCATGCCCACTCCACCTCCACAGGTTGGGCCTCTGCAAGGGGATAGTTACCCGGGGTTCCTTGGCTCACTCTCTCGTGAACTTCCTCCCTTCAGCTTCCTAACCAGCTTCTCACTGCTGCGTCTAATGGAAGCCCGGAGTTTGCTAAAGGAACCACTGCGCTTTAAAGATCCAGTGCCGTCCTGAAAGAAACGTAAACAAGCGTGAAGCTGCAGGAGGCCCTCCCCACCCGGCACAGACGCCCAGCCCAGGGCTCCCATCCTCCTGGCGCCAACAGAAATCTACGGCTTCTGACTTCACTAGAGGTCACCCCGTGGCCATGGAAACCCTGACATGAAGCGCATTCTGACAGAGGTAATCACAGCCCCAGAGGCGGTGAATTACACTGCCGATCTGGGACCAAAGCTAAAAGTCTCAAAAACAGGCCGGCCCCATGAATGTCAAACATGGAGGCCCCAGGAGGCCCCGGCCAGCATGCTGTGCACACCGGGCCTGGACGCCAGGGCTACCAGAGCGAGCAGCCCACAGAGCTCCCTCTCCGCCTCCCCCAAGAGGAGGGGGCAGTTTCATAAGTGTCCATGATAAATACGGCTGGAAAGTTAAAATGCTCGCTTCATACAAGTAACTGAAAACCCTCAGACACCTTGTGGGGAGAGGTGAAAGGAGGGGCCAGCCGCAGAACGGACACCTGGCAGAATCTGGCCGCAAACTCGAGTGGGATGCGCATGACGCGTGGCCAGTGGCACAACAGTGCCAGCTACCGGCACTGTGGTGTTTCTGGGAAGAGAGCAGGGCACAGAGCAGACGCAGACACGGGTCAGTTGGAGTGAGTTTATTAGAAGTTAGACAGACAGATACACACGTCACCGGGCACTTAAAAGATTAGCAGAGAAAAGCAGAACTGCCGAAACTTCACACAAAGACTACACAGCAAATCTACTTCACACGTCCTGGGGAGGCCGGGGCAGGGCGCCACCAGGCCTCTGAGTACCACAGGGACGTGCAGCACATGCCTGACACCTACAGCTCAGCGACTGTCCACAGGTCACCATCATGCGTGACTCTGTTAACTACCTGTTATAAGAGGGAACAGCTAATCGCTCTTAATTTAAACTCGTAGTACACAGGAAGTGGAGTTTATTAATACAGTGGGAATTACTAAGTACATATCTGGCAAAGCTACATGTATACAGAAACCAGAAACCCCCAAGAGGACAGCAGCACCGAAAGGAACGGCCAGTCACACAGGTGCAGCTCTGCCAAGCTCCTAGGGACCGAGACAGCAGGCAGCGCTGGAGAGAGGGCCGGAGAGGCCACCCGTCGTGCAGGAGCAGTGAGGCACGCGGGCGGCTAGGCCTGTCGACAGAGAGGAGAGAGAGCGTGAGCCAGAGGAAGCAGGCCTGCTCGCGCGGCTTCCAGCACAGTATTTCTAGGTCACAGTCTCAGCAACATCGCGCGCTCAGTGCTGGGCCCAGGGTGTCCAACAGAGAGAGCCGGGCCTGCGCTAGGTCACCCAAGTGCAAGTCGTGCTTCAGAGACGGACTGGCATTGGGGAGCGATCCCGATGTACCATCAAAGGTTTCACAAGCTACTGTACGCAATGGAGACTCGGCAATGAAAACCACCTGTGGGTGCCACAGTGGGGCTGCACATGAAGACCGTTCATTACACTTGTCCTGGCTCATCTTGAACTGTGAGATTCTCCCTGAAATCAGGTCTGACTTTCATTCTCCTAAAAACACTAACATCTTAGATCTCAGGAATTTTAAGAGCCACTGACTTTACGAGTCGATAGCACATAGCATGCAGCTGATGACTTCCCCAGGCAGCCAGGCTTCCGGGCCCTGCCTGGGTGGCAGCTGTGGTCCCAACAGGGGCACAGCCAGCAGGGCCTGCCCCGCCCGCTCGGACTCACCATGGGACGCTGACCAAGTCACTTAACCAGCCCGAGCTTCATCTTTCTCATCTTTAAATGGAAAAATAAAACTTGTTACCAATGCCTCCAGAATGATGGGAGGACAAGAAAACATAAGTTCCCAGTGTTCTTAGAAAAGGGTGCAGTGCTGAGTGCCCTGCCGTGCAGCTGTGCGGTCCCTGCACTCCGGTCCCGGGGCTGGGGCACTCTCAGCCCTCACTGGAATCTTGGGCCCGGGGAAGATGCGCCTCCCTCCCCAGTGCACAGCGTGCACCTGCGCTTGCAGCGGCTGCATGCACACATGGGCATCAGTGAGCCCAGAGCCTGCCCCTCTCTGTCTGCTGGGGGTGGCTGTCCCTCGGCGTCCCCCCAGCCCTGTGCTGGCCCCAGGGACCTGAGGGAAGCAGGCAGAGGGCTGGGCGCGTTCTGACGCACCTTCTCGGCCATCAGATACAAACTGCACAGCGAGCTTCTCAACAGACCAGCCGTGCAGCGTGTGGACTGCCCCATGCTGTCACCTTTGTACAGTACACTCACGTGTGCAGTGCTTTCTTTGTTTGGATTTTTTTTTGGTGCTGGGGATCTAACTCGGGCCCTTGCACTTGTGAGGCAGGCGGCAGAACCACTGAGCTACATCCCCGGCCCTGCAGTGCTTTCTTAATCTATTTACTTTTTCTTTTTTTGGCATATTCTAGTTATCTTCCTAGTATAATTTTCCAAAAATAAAAACCTCTTTCTAAGTAATGGCTATTTCCTTCCCCCTGAGCCCCAGGTGAGAATTTACTGTTAGAAGCTCACAGCCTTCTCAGCACGGGAGTCGACTGGGGCTGCATCTGCCCTCAGGGCTCCTGTGTTACCATGACGACACCCAACAGCAGTGCGGAAGGGCCCGGGGCCCTCGCCCGGCACACGCGCCCTGCTCAGTGGACACAGAGGCCCGAGGACAGAGCCAGGGGCCTGGTCTTATGCAGAGTGGGGCTCCTCACCACGGCACCTGCGTCCTGTGAAGGCCACGTGAGCTCACACTTGGGGCTCACAGGCAGCCCGTGTCAGGGCGGACACACCGTGACCTTGTGGCCCTACCCCACGATCTGGGCACACAGAGCCAGGGCTGGCCGGAGCAGCTACTCAAGCCTCAGCTGCCTGCGCTGTGACCACACTGTGCTGTGGTTTTGATGCGATGTCTGAACACTGAGAAGAACTCAGCTTCTCACCCTGTGTGACTGAAAGCCACTGTGTTCATCCCTTCCATCCTCTTAGCAGTTGTCTCTGCTAGGCTGTGGCTGAGAGAACAACACCTGAGCTCCCTGATGTAGCAGTTTTCAGTGTTTTAAAGAGCACTGAAATCTTTTTTTAAAAAAAGTAAATAAGTAATCCCAGCTAATGGGGAGCCTGAGGCAGAAACATCTCAAGTTTAAGGTCAGCCTAGACAACTTAGACCCCATCTCAAAATAAAAAATAAGAAAGAGGGCCTGGGTGTAGCTCAACTGTAGAGCACTTGCCTAGTGAGTATGAGCCCCAGATTTAATCTCCATTACAGGAAAAAAAAAGTTCAGAATCTTATGCAAAAATCCCAATATAAAATGAAATTTGAGTGGCATTTTCTCAACTAAATGCATAGCATGTTCTTATTACCATAAATTAAGTCAGGAAGAGCAAGGAAGCTACCCTTTCAAACCAACAACCTGAAATCTAAAGTTGGAGTGACGGGCACAGTCTTGACATCTACCTCGAGGGCCAGTGTATTTCACTCTTCCCTCAACTGTGTATTACTGAACAAACCTTTGACACGTGTGTAAGTGGTTGCCAAGGGTAACCTTTTTTAAGCCGCTGTATGATCTCTGGCAAGTTTTCCTTTAAACAAGCAGCAGGAGAAACTGTTCTGCCCTCGGTACAGAGACAAAGCAACATGCACTTTGGTGTTCAACTCTAAAGCAAACTTGACTCTTCAGATGGACTCCACTCACTGCTCGTAACGCCACCCCTTGCAGCTGACTAAAAAGAAACTGGCCAGGTGTGCTGGTGAGGGCTGTGACCCCAGCACTCTGCACTGCTGAGACAGGATGATCACAGGTGCGAGTGAAGCCTGGGAAATTTATCAGCTTAGCAAGACCCTGCCTCAAAATAAAAAATAAATAAACGGCTGGGAATATAGCTTGGTGTGAAAGCCCTGGGTTCAATCCCCAATAATGCAGGGCTGGGGATTTAGCTCAGTGGTGTCGTCACCTGTCTTGCAAGTGTAAGGTCCTGAGTTCGATCCCTGGTGCCAAAAAATATATAAATAAATAAATAAATCCCAATACTGCAGAAAGGAAAAAATAATCCCAAGTGTGTATACTGCAATCACTACCTTATTAAAATAATGAAAATGCGCTTTGAAAACAAAAAATCAAAAGCCAGGGAGCACAGTGCTGCCTTGGCCAACAGAGCCAAGGAGGACGGCGTGAGCACCAAGGCCGCCCTGTCCCCGGAAGCTCGGCCTGGCCCCCTCCCAGGGAGCTGTGCAGCTTCGCACGTCACAGTGCAGCATGTCCGACGGGACATGTCCACGTTAAGGGCAACAGAGGAAACAGACACACACTCAGGGGAATGCGGCTGTCACCCAGGCCTGCGGGGGAGGTACCCAGCAGACCTCCGGGAGCCCTTAAAACAGAGTACAGCTCTGGGCTGGCGATGATCCCGTCTCAGGATTCGCCTGAGTGTGGACCTAGAAATACTGCCTCAGAGAACGTCCCCCAGAACCTCATCCAGGAGTCACTGGACACACGGCTTCAGCAGCCCAAGCAGCAGGGCCCCCAGACAAAGCATGCAGGGGCCAGAGTGGCCAAGAGGACAGGACACAGCTCAGACAGGACCGGCACAGGCAGGGGCCTCCCAGCCTCACTGCAGTTTGCAGCCACTGCCGGCCGGCTGGTGCCATCAAAGCAAATGCTGATTGGCTGGCTTGGCACAGAAAGAACCGAAGTAAGAAAACTGACAGGTAAAGATGGTCCAGAGAATGAAATTTTGGCTTCTAACATTTTTTACAAAATGTTTGGTCAGGACATTAGCTCCTGCCAAACTGCTACAGCTGTAAAAAATTCTGAAGAATAAAGAGATTGAAAATATAAGACTGTAAGAAAGTCCCAAACTAGGCCTAACCACACCGCACAATTACAGTTCGTCACACTGCACAGTAAGGACCTCCATGCCTATGTGCGCTAAACCCTGCATCCAACTCTCCCTGCTGAAGCAAACTTCCAAAGACATCAGCTCAGTGTACACAGAGCCATCCACATGTCACAGAGCCCGAGGGGACAACGGACCACCACTGGGTACAAAGCACTGGGGACAGCCCGGAGAGCTGCGACAGCCAGGCGGGGCATGCGACCTCTTGGGGTCTGCCTGTGTGAATGACAGCCAGAGAGCCCAGAAGCTGGGTGAGCAACAGGGAAGAGGGGCTGACTTGCTGGACCCCAGGAGGGGGGACGCGTGATGCTCAGGACTGAGCAGGACAGCGGGAGAGTAGCCACCACCCTGCGTTTCTGCTCATGAACTGTTCTTTTCTAAAGCAAGTTCCAATTAAAGAGCTTCTCCCTTGAAGGCAATTTAACCACAGATCTAGAGCCAGCGAATGAGGTTAGGGCCCTGAGTTAGCAGTGAGGCAGCAAGTTAGCAGCGAGTTAGTTGTCTGCCAGGCTGAGCCTTGAGCACGGTGAGGCTCTGAGCAGCCAGGACCCTCAATCAGTATGAAGTGCTCAAGTGAGGGCTCCTAAGGGGAGGAAGTTACCCCTCGGGAGGAAGAGACTTCACAGTTAGCGAGCGAACGTTAGGACTTAGAGAAGCCTCCCTGCCACTGCACCGGAGGAAAGCGGGGCAGGCGTGGGACAGGGACGCCTGCCAAGTGCTGTGTGTACTTACCCCGTTCCACTCTACGCTCATACTCACTTCCTCCCCTCCGTCAGCGCCGCTCTCGTACTTGACCACGTCTGAGCTGAGGCTCTCCCGGCTCCGACGCTTCTCCGTGCTCTCGGGGTCGTTGAGCACTTCAGCCACTCTCTGTTTGTGAACAGTGTCGAGGCCCTGGCAGCCAGGTGGGGGAGGACCGTTAGCACTTCCGACTTAGTGGAGACCGCTCAGACGCGTCCACGTCCCCGGGGAACAAAGCCGGTTCTTAATCACGAGAAGGAAAAATCGGAACAGTGGCTGGGCGCCGGGCAGGAACCACAAAACAGAACTCCTAGGTGACAGTGACGGGCTTGGGCCACAGCGCACACACTGCCAAGTTCAGGCAGGTGTTACAGGACTGCGCTCTGCACCCCATGTAAAGTTTCATCTCAGACTAAAAAGCTATAAACAAATACAGAGCTCTTATTAATGACTTGTAAACTGAAATATTTAGAAGGAAGTACACTGATGTCTAGAAATTATCTAGAATGCTTCAAAAACATCTATCAATAGATGTACGGACAACTGGATAGGATAGATGCGATAAAAGTATCTAAAATGTTCACGACACAATCTCAGTGACAGTGACCGGAGAGTAAAATTCACTCAACCCTTGTGTATGTCTGAAAAGTTTCACGGATGCCAGGGAATCCCCAGTTTTGTTTTGTTTTGTTTTGTTTGTACTGGGGATTGAACTCAGGACCTTGTGCTTGCCAGGCAGGCGGCTGCACCACTGAGCTAAATCTCTGGCCCAAGCCCAGTTTTAACTTAGAACCCTAGAGTTTCTGGCTTCCAGACCTGTCTGTGGCTGAAGACGCAGACATGCCATCTTCTAAGCTCGCTGCGGATTTACAAGAGGCAGCTCCCGAGCACCCCAGGAAGGGACAGGTGGAGGGAGCCCGCATCCGACTCTCAGTGGTTCTCGTTCCAGCAGAGCGGCGAGGCACTGACACCCCCAAGTGTGTCCTTGACACCTGCAGGTCTTCCCTGCCGCCTGGACTGTGACCCAGTGGGCCTGACATCCTGTGTGGACGGATGCTTCCGTGCCGGCAAAGCCTCTCACAGGCGGGTGGGACACTCTAGGCCTTTCTCCACAGGCTGCGGCTGCTCCAACTCAACTGTACTCTGCCCGCTTTTCTAACACGATCTGGGTTCCAAAGCAAGGCCTGGACGGCAGACCCCACGCCTGCTGCTGCATGCCACACACGTCACTCCACATCACTGCAGCAGCGCCACCCAGCAGCCCCTCACCCCAGTAAGTGTCCCCAAGGTGCAGCAGGCGGCCAGAAGGCTGAGTGCTCTCAGGATGAGGAGAGAAGGCCTCTGCCCACCTCAGCCAGGGCCAAGGGCTCAAGAGCGCCAGCTACACTTGACACCTTCTCTCATCACCGGAGGGGCTGTTTTGAAAGAAAAAAGCTCTAAGGTGTCTATGTGTAATTTTAGTCCAAGCTAAAAAGCAGCTGTAAGTTGACAATCACAAAATAGCCTACATGTATTCGTCAAGGAAAAAATACCCACACCTGCCTGCTAGTAAGCAAAGCCACCACTGTCGTGGCCCTGCACACATATGTGCATGTGCATAGAAACACAGACTCCTAACGCCAAGGACCGCCACAAAAGGGCAAGAATGAGGCATTTTCCTGTATTTTCTCTTCAAACTGTATTTCAACATAACTGCATAACCCTAGGATATGAAGGGTAGGACTTCCTTACAGAGTTCGAACTAATAAGCTAGTCAGTTCCAAACCGCAATGCAGAGAACTAAGTTAACAGCCTTCTGAGAAATGCCAACTGCCGGGGGGGGGGGGAGCAGCCCAGTGCCACTCCGTGGACAGGAAGCCACCACCAAAGCCACAGGTAGCAGGGAGCAGGAGGGAGGGCCCTGCCTAGCCTGTGGCCGAGTGATGGCCAAGAACAGGCAAGGGCTCAGGTGGGAGATCTCGCTGCCATCCCTACTTTCTCATGGTCTGAAATTTTCCTGATAAAAGGTTAAGAAAAAGATAATTTGGGCCCTAACATCTTTCTCTCTTTTTTATCTATTCGTTTCTTTAAATTGGGAGCATCAGCATATCATCGGCACTGTGCGATCACCCCTGGGTTCAAACCTAAAACATTACTATCACCCCAAATGCAGCCCTCCTCTCCCCTCAGAAGCCACTCCCAGGCTCAGGCCCAACCACTGATCTGCTGTGCCTCTGGGTGATGCCAGGTGGGAACCACTCGCGCACAGCGTGTACAGGTCACATCCTCCTGTGTGGGCTTCTGCACCGCTCTGCATGGCCCGTGTCACCGTGGAGCCACTGCTGTGCGCCGGTGGGCGGGCAGGTGAAGCTGCTTCCCAGTCCCCCACCTGCTCAACCAGCTGTGTGCACCCGAGTGAGTTTGAAGGGCCCTCTGCAGACTTGACTCCCCGGCCTCGGTCCTGTGCTCTCCATGGGCACCGGCTGCCCGGGTTCCCAGGCATGACGTGCATCACAGAGCCAGGCTACAGCGCGGAGGGCCACAGGGCCAGGCTGGGTGCACAGGTCTGCTCATCACCGTGGCGACAGACAGACCATGGGAGGCACGGTGCACAGGAACCAGCCCAAGCGCCTCCTAAGATCCACAGGTCAGGACTTGCTCTCGGTGCTGGCAGTGACTTTACAGGATGTAAGGACTTGGGGTAGAGAAAGCAGGCTCTTTGTTTGCTATGCTTTGGATCTGGGGTGTCCTCTCAAGCCCGTGTTTGGGACCTAGTGGGATCTGCCGGTCAGCAGGGGCCCTGCCTCCTCCCACTTCCTGCCACAGGTGAGTGGTCTGCTTGGCCATGCATGCCCCTCCACGACACGGAGCCAACCATCCTGCACTGGAGCCCAGGAGCCCTTTCCTCTTCGCCCTGCTGCCTCAGGTGTCTGTCGGCACCTGGAAGCTGAGCACAGGCACACACAGGGTGGGCTGCTGGACCAGGCAGCACCCTGAAGGACCGTCGGCTGTGCTCCCCCACCGCAGCCACCCTGCAGTCTCCACACGCTGCGCGGCTCCCCGACTGGGGCGTTGACCTGGTCCCCATGCCCCCCAGCCATGTGCTCACCCCAGGGAGCCACCTCTCTTCTCACTGTCTCCTCCTGTGCACGTCTGGGCCCCAGCCCCTCGTCCACCACTTGGTTCACAAACCCCGTGCCTCCCTGTGTGCTCCCCCTCCTGCCTTCTCACTTCCTCACTCGTGTCCCTCACAAATGTTTTCATTTTGATGCATTCAATGGGTCAAGTTTTTCTTTTTCTGCCTATGTTTTTAGTGTTGTATTAATGGTGTTTTAAACAACGTAACCTGTGCAAACTAAAATATTAAAGAGTTTCTATGTTTTTGGTAGTCACTGGGATGGAACCCAGGGCTTCACACATGCTAGACAAGAACTCTCCCACTGAGCTATACCCCTAGCTCAAGACTTTCTAAATCAAGCCATCAATAAAAGCTGTACGATGCCAGGCACTGTGCTGCATGTCAGCAATCCCAGCTACTCAGGAGCCTGAGGCAGGAGGATCACAAGTTCAACCCCAGCCTGGGCAACTTAATGAGACCCTGCCCCAAATATAAAATTTTAAAAGTGCTGAAGTAGTAGCCCACTGGTAGACTTCTTGCCTAGCATGCACAAGGCCCTGGTTTAAGCCCCAGTCCTGAAATCTCACAGTTCTTTTGTTTTGGGTTTTTTTTTTTGGGGGGGGGGGGGGTGTTCTTGTTTTTTGAGGCAGGGTCTCGCTTTGTAGTTCAGGCTGCCCCTGAGCTCACTACGTAGCCCAGGCTGGTCTCGAACACCTAGTGATCCTCCTGCCTCACCCTCCCCAGTGCTGGGATTACAGGTGTGAGCCACCACACCCAGCTTTGTTTTGGTTTTTTAAAAGGGTCTCACTCTGTAGTTCAGACTGGCCTTGAACTCACTATGTAACCTAGGCTGGCCTGGAACTCAGTGATCCTCTTACCTCGGCCTCCCAAATGCTGGGATTACTTACAGGTGTGCACCACCACCCAGGTTCTGAATCTCAGCTGTGATGATAAGTTAGAGGCATCTGACTCACCTGCTTCCGTGACCTCATGGCGGCTTCTTCTAATGTTTCTGCAGCTTCAAATTTTCCTTGACGCCGGTAAAGTGCTCCAAGGTTTTTCAGTGTGGTTGTGACAGTTGGACTGTAAGGAGGAATGAGACAGAGCTATGAGGGTGTGCCTCAGGGCCACTGCCTGCGCACATCACCTAGGAGTCTGTCAGGCCCTGTCCTGGGGAGTGCATGCTGTAACTCCCCATAATCTTTGTATTTTTGTTTTCCTTTTTTTTCTTTCCCACTGTGGAACCTGCGTCAGTGTCAGCAGCCTATGGGCAGAGAGGTCAGGCTTATGGCTGGGGCAACAGCTGCTCTGGCATGGGACACCATGAGAGAATGCTCTCAAGAGCTTGTGGGTCAGGATTTAGCTCAGTGGTTCCGCCGTCCCCGAAAGACAAAGTCCCAAGTTCGATTCCCGGTACAAAAAAAAAAAGGGCTTGTGCTTACGCAGCCCCGCCGGCCAATGCCATCAGAGCCCTGCAGTGGCCCACGGCAGGCGCATGCTGCGTCCACCCAGGGCCTGGCCACAGCAGCACGTGGGTGTTGTTGAGTGGGATGAGGGCAGATGGCCACAGTGCCACACGCACCCTCGTCTCGCACCAGAGCAAGCCCAAGCCTCGAGGCCTGGCAGCAGTGGATGCAGGTGGCACGCAGAGGGAAGCACAGGGAGCTGGAGGCCATGACAGTGTGGCTGCATCCTGACGCAAGTCTTCCGGTCAGAAATCAACACAGAGCACTTGCAGAGCTGCCTACTCTCCCACTGGTGACAGGCATTCACCAGTGTGAACCACCCTAGTGTCTTTGAGACCAGTGTGCAGCAGTGAAGAAAGAAAAAAGTCCATTTCCCGTCTCAGGGTAACTGTGATGGGGGTTCCCAGGGGAACGGCGGTATTTATTTCATACTAGGGTCCAGCGAGTCTGCCTGAAACAGATGAGTGGGGAGCGGAGTGGTAAAGGAACAGGAAGTTACAGCAGCAAAACCGTGGCAGGAAGTGTGTCACTCAGATGGGGCTGGTGTGTGCCGGGAGCACAGGCTCAGGGCTTGAGCACCACTGCAGGCCATGGTGGGGCTCACGCTTACCCCCAGAGCTGCAAGGACAAAGGGCTGTGGTTCAGCATCACCCCTGTGGCCAGGGAAGCCTACTCCGCTCCGGCCTGGCCGCTTGAGGCCCCAGCGCACGCTTGCCCTAAGTGTGCTGCGTGGCTGCCTGCGGTGCTGTTTCCTCACTCAGGCCAGCGGCGCCCACGGACAGAACACACGCTACTGCAGCGGGGCCTGTGTATGCTGACCCATTTCCACGGACACCGGGGTTTCCTGCTGCAGGATCTGGGGAAAATTCGGAACTGTGCAACCACACACGTCTGTCCTTTCCGAGCTATTCCCACAGCCTGGTCAACTGCCTCACTGTGGGTTTTTGGCCGGACGGCAGACCTACCTATCAACTTTGCAGGCTTTGTACCAGCCACCATACTCTCCAAAGGAAGTCCCATCCTTCGGCTTTCCCTAAATTGTAATAGACAATGTCAAGTGAACAGTCGTCTTGAATCCAGGACGTCCCATTTTAAGAACCCCCAAAACGGTTACAGCCTTACCTTGCACTCCTCTCTTTCTTCAGCATGCATCCAAATGGGCTTATTTTCATCTAGAAAAGAGAAAAACAACCTTCTATGAGTTGAAGACTAAGCCTACTGGTCAGACACTGTCAGTTCTCAGCAACAACAAGGTCTAGGCTTTGGTTTTCCACGGCGCTTCTTAGCTACTTCTCTCCACTCGGACAGATCAGATGCATCTGGAGCAGAAGGCCCAGGGAGGAGAGAGGAAGCAGGTGCCGTTCACATCTGGCATCACAGCCATGAGATGCAGGCTCCAGGGTGCCTAGCAAGGGGAAGCGCCTGGGTCACCAACTGACAGGGTCGGGCCCGCACCTGCAAGTCACATAACACCCGCCAGTGCCTGGAATTTGAGCAACGTCACATTCAACAAAAATCTAAGAAATTAGTAAGATCTGGGAACAAAAGTAGAAAGATACAAGTCAATATTCCTTTAAAGTCTTAACTTACAGAACATTAACACATCCTACCAGGCAACCAACAGACCAATGCCACGGAGGAAAAAGAATTTTTTTGATACTAAGGATTAGCACAGAAAACTTCTTTTAACTAGAACCCAATTAAGTTTCACACACTACCTGGAGCAGGAAGGAGCTAGAAAATCACAAGGAAACCAGTATTCCCCATGAGAATGTTCTACAACCCCTGGGAGATGGCTTGACACGCCATCAAGTCCGCAAAGCTCTGCCACTGGCTAAGGCTGGGAACGCCTCTGCAAACTGTGAACAAGTGGGTACGATGCAGCCCTGCACAGCTGTGTCGACAGCCTCAGCGGCAAGCCGGAGCCCATGGCGTTCTCGTGGTGAGAGGTTTACTGTCCATTTAGCAGCACATAAACAAAATGCATTTGGGGAACACATTTCCAAAAATGGTTCCTAGAAACTCTGTAAAAAAATTAACCTCTTCTGGCCAAGGTTCCGTGCTGCACGTCCTGGACGTGCCCTTGAGGGTGTCCCAGACACCGGGAAGAAACCGCTTTCTCTCCCACTGTCCCAATTCTCCCTGTGCCAAACCTCACAGGCAGGCGACACAGCGAGGAGTGACCGCCTGGAGCTGACAGGAACTCGGGGTCTAGAAAAACAACAGACACTCTGCTCCTGGCCTCCTGGTTTGGGCTCATTATTCTGATAATCTCAGCAGGCACTGCAGGCCATGAGAGAGCAGGATAAAGCCACAAAGGAGGGACAGTCCCGGGATTCTTCTTCCAGGGAGGTAATACATTCTGCAAATAAAATGCCCCAGTGGATCAAAAACTATGCATGTATATGAGTTAACCAGACACCCCTCTCCCTGCTAATGCTGAGGCCCCTGCAGACCAGTAACAACTGTCCTCGGTCTGAGTGCCACTCCAACACCTGATGAGGAAGATGAGCACACAGATATTTTAACTGAACAATTTAAACTCTGTAGAATATTTACTCCACAACTGTGTATTAAGCACCTACAATGTCTGGACGAACGGCACAGAGCTATGACCTTGGGCTGAAGGAGGGATTCGTACTTCCAACTGAGCTACTGGGGCTGGGCACAACCGGAGAAGCACTGGGGTGACACACAATCAGGATGGTGCGGGGGGCACACAGGGAGAGGCGGCCCTGTGCTCCCTGCCACGGGGTCCTCCCCAGCCGAGTTGGCAGCAATGCCCAGGCACAGGGCTCAGAGGACACACTTCTCACTGAGCAGGGAAGCAGCGAGTGAGCAAGTGAGCACTCAGCCTGTGCCACGTCCTCTCAGCCAGGCACCACTGAGAATGTGGCGACTTCCATCTAGGAAGCAGATGTGAAGTCTCGGGTCTTGCCTACTTCAAGCAGGAAATCCCTTTCTGAACACACTGTAGTTGTCTACATCTGCCTACAAACAGGTACGCTTCTTACCATCCACGGAACCGAACTCCCGCTCATGTGCACGAGTGAGAATCTCTTTGTACAGTGTTTCTGCTTGCTTGAACTTTCCTTGTTTCAGATAGCAGGATGCCTTAAAGTAAAATAAAGGATTTAGTGTCCTCCATGTAAATAAAACATGCATGTTTATCTGCAGTGAGCAGTAGAATGCTGGGGAAGCACTGGGGTCTGAGGGAGAAAGGTCCCCACGGCCCCCTCAAATACCAGGTTGTTCTTGGTCTTGGCCACATTGGGGTCGTCAGGGCCCAGTTTTGTCTGGTAGATCTCCAGGGCTCTCTGATAATAATATTCCACTTCTTCATACTTGCCCTGGTTCTGGCACAGTAAGGCCAAGTTATTCAACTGCTTGGCAACGTCAGGGTGATCCTTTCCCAGGACCTGGGAATAAACACTAGGAATTAGAAACACCGACTTATGTTACCACACCCACCTCCTGTCAGAAGCAGGCTTCTAAAAGGTAAATGGGGGCCAGGGATTTAGCTAAGTGGTGCCTCGCCTGCCTCGAAAGCACCAGGTCCTGAGTTCAATCCCTGGGAGGGGAGCGAAGGGGAGGGGAAGGGAAAACTGACAAACCTGACTCAAATGGCCATCATGACAAAAATAACCAGAATCTACTCCATTATCTACTCCTCCTTCTGTGTGTGTGTGGGGGGGGGGGTTACTGGGGATTTGCACTGTGCTACATCTCCAGCCATTTTTTTTTTAAATACACATTTTCAAAGCATCTTTATAAGCCAAAGAGGTAAGCAAGAGCCTCACTCAATTTTTTTTTTTTTTAAATACACATTCCAGCCATTTTTTTTTTTAATTTTTGAGACGGAGTCTAAGTTGCTGAATTGCCCAGGTGGGATCAAATAACCCAAATCTCTCTCATTCCTCCTTTACTCCCCAGCCTACACATTAAAACACAGCCAAGGGGTGCAAGCACTTTGTTGGTCTTCTCCATCAGTGTAACCTTGCACCCTCGCTAGGACAGTCCTGCTCAGGGACAGGCAAACACCCTCCGCACCCAAACCAAGCACTTGTCGCCTCAGACCTGCACCTCACATGCACAGTTCCTGGGAGACGCGCTGCCCTGCACGCACCATCTCCCCAGCTCTCTGGTCAGACGCGGGCCTGCCCTGGAAAGCCAACACCTAGCCCTCAGCCTGAGGAGCCTGTGCTGTCCCCTCTGTCTCACAGGACACCCTCTGCGGTCACCAGGTCTGTCCAGTGGACAGTGCTCCCAGGAAAGGACTAAGCAGGGGGCTCTGAACAAATGAAGAGGCAAACATTTGAATAAATTTTTGCAGGATTTTTTTCAGACAAGGTCTCACTAAGTAGCCCAGCTGGTCTCCAACTCCTGGGCTCAAGCGACCTTTCTGTTTCAGCCTCCTTAAGCAGCTGGGACTACAGGCATGTGCCACAGATCATCAGGCCTGTACATCATCTGACCGTGCTCTCATCCTTCTGTGCTCTCCCTAATTTTAAACCCAACCCACTCAACTTTGACCATTTTACTTTATAAATATCACCCAGATGGCACCATGATAAAGTATTACCTATAACATTTGACGATGCGCTCCTTTCAGTTTCTAATTCTTTGCCGTATGGCTCAAAATCAAGTACTCTCAGTATCACAGATAAACAATCAAAAGAATGTCAAACTAGGGGCCCGGGATTTAGCTCAGTGGTGCCACTGCCTGCCTCGCAAGCAAAAGGTCCTGAAATCGATCCTGGATACCAAAAAAAAAAAGTCCAATGAAACAACTGCCCTAAGTCATGGCATGGGCCTGACACCTGACTGTAACATCTGAACCTCTCTCGCTGCGGAGACAACCTTCCTAGTTTCCTCAACAGCCAGTCATAAAGGCAGCAGGTGCTGTTAAATATCCATGCCTCTGAAGCAAGGACAGCTCTGAGCTAATCTTTAGCTGTGAAAATAACTGCTTTGTTTCTTAACTTTGATAAGGCGTATGTGGTAAACTTATTTTTCAACAGTAACACGCATCTTCCTACTGACAGGCATACACCCTTGTTAAGTGCATTGTCAAGGGCTGGGGATTTAGCTCAGTGGCACCGCGCCTGCCTTGCAAGCACAAGGTCCTGAGTTCAATCCCTGGTACCAAATAAATATATAAATATAAAAAATACATGCAGTTAAGTGCATCGTCCCCAACAGCTCCTGCTGTTGCCCCACACCCAGGAATGTGCCATCATGAATACATGCTCCCTTAGCATGGGTCTCCAACGCTGCTTTTAGGGGCCAAATGGACTTCGTTCTGGGAGCTGCCCACCTTTAAAATCAGCTGTTTTCAGTTAAGTGATTAGCAATGACATCACAGTGCTCACTTCCCAAAACTTAAAGCTGAAATTTTTGTTCAAAAAGCTAAATCTCAGCAAGTGAGTCTTCTGTTGTTCCATACCTTTTCTCTGATCTCCAGGGCTCTTTTACACAGCGGCTCGGCCTCTTTATACTTCCCTCGCTTACCATACAGGACTGCGAGGTTGTTCAGCGTCGCCGCCACCTGCCAACACAGGATGCCACAAGAAATGTGAGACGTCCTGACGGGTGGCTGCACGTCGCAGACCCCCAGTCACAGCGCACAGTGAAGCACTCTCACCGGACAAGATGTGACTTCAGGTCAAAGACCAGCACAGTTCGTAAGAGGCAGATCACCAAGCAGTGCTGCATCACGAAAGTTTTAACACTGAACAAATCGGCCTCAAAATCATCATGATTTTTTTACATTTCCCTGGAAGCCACAAAGCCAACCAAGAGATCTCTGTGCAAATCTGACCAGATTTTTACAAAGAGACAATGCAAATTCCCGAGAAACCAATCCAGAGAATGACATGCAGTCTGATTTGGGATCAAAGGGTGCAGCTGCGGTCCACTGGAGGTGTGCTCTCACGGAGCAGGAGGGATGGGCATAGCGGCAGAGCTGCGGGAGAAGCGGTCACTGCCCGCGCAGGCAAAGCCCTACCTGTGCCAGCCAGGAGCAGGAGGCTGTCAGACTCTCCCTGTCGAGAGTGACACTGGCATGAGCTGGGCAAGAACACACTGGGGAAAACGAAACGTGAACGACCGAAAGAGCCAGGTATACAAACCGCAGGGTGGTCCTTGCCCAGAGTTTTCTCGCGGATGGCCAAGGCGTCGTTGAGCAGATTGGCTGCATCTTTGTATTTGTTCTGGTCCCTGAAGTGAGAAAGGCACAGTGAGTGTTGGGCTGCAGGAGACCGATTGTAACCTGCCCGTTTCCTGGTGCCAGAGGCCGAGCCCAGAGCCTCACACTAAGCTCCACCCAGCCTCCTAAATCTTCTTAAATGTCATTTTGGAGCTACAGAAATACAGGTTAAGCTCCCATTATTAAAAAACAAAACCAAAAAAATAAAATAAAAAAACAAAACCACCCTGAGTGTGGGAGGAGAGACTGGAAGGAAACCATCGGTGAATCCCTGTCAAGGTGAGTTGTGGGCCAGCCTGGCAGTTCCTTCACTTGGCCTCCCATGGAGACCACAGAACAGAGCTGCTGCCATGCTGCAGTGAAAAGGGGAAGCCCCAGAGCCACAGGCAGCTCTCATCTGGCATCAGACAGCACAGATCTGAGTCTGAGCAGGCCCTACTAGCAGCAATGACCTCAGCTGAAACTCAGGAGAAACGGGGACCCCCCAGACCTGGTCTGTCAGGAGCTCATCATGATGGGACTTAACCAGGAAGGGAAGTTCAGATGCAAAATGAAAAGAAATGTGTATGCTGCAAGCATTAAAATCCTAAGAGAAAAATGAGCAAGACAGGAAGAACTACAGTCAGTCATGGATAACTAAAAATATGAGGTCAAAGAAACAGAAATCAAAACACAGGCTCCACTCATCTACCACCAAGGAAAAAGCAATGACCAAGACCACCCAGGTAGTCCATGCTATAGCAGGAGCATGAATGCATCAGCCCTCTGAATGCAGTTCAGCAAATACTGGCAAAGGTTACACAATGACCTGTCTTAGGAATTTATCTTTAATAAATCCAAAACTGCCAGGGATAGTGGTGCACACCCATAATCCCAGAATCTGGGAGGCTGAGGCAGGAGGATCACCACAAGTTCAAGGCCAGCCTGGGCTACACAGTGAGACCCTGTCTCAAAATTTAAAAATTAAAAATGGGCTGGGATGTAGCTCAGTGTAAAGCCCCTGGGTTCAATCTCCAGTGCTGCCAAAAAAGAGAAAAGGAACTCATCCACGGACATGGGGGCATTACTGCACATCTCAGGCCAACTCAGGCCAACCTCTGACTCCCTGCACACACCCTGCCCAGCCAGCCTCACGCCAGCGCACACAGGCCCTGTCTCCACATTGGCCCTGTCTCCGGCCCAGCCCCATTCCATCCACACCGCTCAAAGCCCACCCACCCACCCACCATGGCCCAGGGACCTTCTGCAGAGGCCAAAAGGCTAGAGGAGACATAGGGACAAAGGGTGCATGGGGTCTCAGACTTCAGAAGCCCTGGGAAGATGAGCAGGACGAAGACAAGGCTGGGAGGCCTCCAGACCAAAGAAGCCGGCAGAGTCGCACGAGCAGAGTCACACACTCACTGGCCAGAGCAGAAACACTGGTGTGGGGCCTGGGCACGGGACAGGGTGGAGCACCTGCCTAGCTAGACGTGCTAGGTCCTGGGCTCCACCCATAGGGGAAGGAGGGAGGCAGAGGAGGAGAAAAGGCTGACCCAGGCGGCTAAGGCAGCATTTGCTCCCTTGCAGTGAGATCCTTGCCACAGAGTTGGCTAAATACTGCATTTGGATTTAACCCCTGGATGTTTGAAGAGAGATGGATGATAAAGTTGGAAAGCACATAGTTGATTCAGATTTATAAAACATATTTTATGCTGCAGATGGTGGCACACACCTGTAATCCCAGCTACTCAGGAGGCTGAGGCAGGAGGATTACAAATTCAAGGCCAGGCTAGGTGACTTGGTGAGACCCTATCACAAAATAAAAATTGTTTAAAGGGCCAGGAATGTAGCTCAGTGGTAAAGTGGTAGAGCACTTGCCTAGCATGTTTGAGGCCCTGGGTTTAATCCCTAGTACTGCAACACACACACACACACACACACACACACACACACACACACACACACACTCTTTCTGTGGCAAGCTTGTTAAAAGTCTCTAGGTACAGTTCAGCAAAGAAACCAAAGGACTAGCCTGTACACCAGGGCCAGGATGTTGAGCATGGTGGCCACGTCAGGGTGGTCATGGCCGGAAGTCTTCTCCAGATCTTCCAAGGCCTGCTTGCAGAGCGGCACAGCCACTTCGTAGCGCCCTTGCGAGGCATACTGGATCACCAGGTTGTGCAGCGTTCGCAGACGGGCGGGGATCTCGTAGCCCCCCTGCTGGGCAGCAGCGGCCGCACTGCTGTGCTGCTGCTGAACTGCAGAGAGAAGGCTGCTTCAGAGGGGCGCTCAGCACAGCCGCGCAGACAAGTGGGTTAATACGGTACGCTTTCCCTGCCAACCCTGCCTCGAGCAGCCCCTCTGTTAGTTCAATCTTTTCTAAGGACCCTGGGTATGCTGGGAGAGAGGAAGGGAGCATCAAGAATGCACCCTGTTGGGCCAGGGATTTAGCTCAGTGGTTCCAGTGCCTGCTTTGCAAGCGCAAGGTCCCGAGTTCAGTCCCCGGTACCAAAAAAAAAAAAAAAGAATGCACCCTGTTGAAAAGAAAAAATATGAGAAAAGGAAAAAATGGAAACAAAGTCTTTGTAAGTAGGGCAGGGTGGAGAGGGTGAAGGGAGGGCAGGGGAATGGGAAAAAAATAAGAACTAAGATGCATCACGTACAGGTGCAAGATCCCAGTGAGGAATGTAACTGTACTGTATACCTGAAATGTACCAATAAACGTAATGAAAACAGAAGAAAGAGTGCACCCTGTCCGCAGGCTTCTCCGGGGTACCCCTCACGGAAGAGTGACTCTGGCCTCTTCCACCTGCAGGGATCTCGGCCACATCTGCACTGTGCACGTGTGCCTGTTCACCAGGCCCCACCCTCCACACTACACCCCCACACAGGCACACACAATCCCCACTGCCCGGGAAGCACAAGCCACCCCACTGTGGTCGGGCTTCTGGGCAGCAGGCCCTGTGCTGCGGCTCTGCTCACTGTGACCAACACGCCCTGGAGGGACAGCAAGGCTCCCCTGTGCAGGACGACAGGCTGCACTCACTTCCTTGGCCAGGGTCATCCTCGTCATTTGGGAAGAGGTCGTCCAGGGGCTCTCTGGCAGAGTCAGCATCTTTGTCCTCCTACAAAAGAGACCCAGAGCATCATTCAGCCTCCACTCTGAACACCCTGCCTGCAAATCTTTAACGTAAAACTCACGTCAACTCCAAGCCCTGGAGAAGACACCAGTCTGTCAGGTCCAGGCAAGGTCATCCGTGCAGCTTCTCCACAGTTTGAGAGTAAGGAAACCCTCCCTAGATTAGATCCCAGTACTTAGACCCAGGACACCACAGGCCAGGACTGCGCCTCCACAGCTGTGCTTTCCCACCTGTGTTCAGGGGCTCAAACTCAGCAGGGGAAGCCTCACTGGAAGTAAAACTTCATTTCACCTCCAATCACCACAGAACGGGGGGCTGGACCACTGCCACAACGGCCCCCATGCAGGAGCCTGAACAGCTGGAAGCCCAGGAGCACCACATACCTGTAACTCGCGCCTGGCTGCAGACTGCTGCTTATGCAAGGGGTGAGACAGGGTGACATAACATAGAAAACAAACAGCTGAGCCCGCTGAAAACAGCACGGTCGCAGGAGGGACACGGACACTCTGCTCCAAGGCAACCCTCTGGAAGTGCACGTTTTTCCCCAGTAATGGGGAGTGAACCCAGGGCGTTCTCATTGAGTTACATCCCTTTATTTTGTTTTTTATTTTGAGACAAGGTCTAAGTCACTAAGTTCCCCAGGCTGGACTCAAAATTGCAATCCTCCTGCCTGAGCCTCCCAGAATACTGGGACTACAGGCGTGCACCACCACGCCCACTTACATATCATTTGAGAGTATTCCCACTGGAACACATAACCCGAACAGTAGACAAACCCAAACTGAGGAACGATGGCTAGAGGAACCAGCCTGCGTTCCTCAAAGATAGCAAAGTCATAAAACACTAAAGAGATGGACGGGACAGGGGACCGTGTGTGTAGTGTGCAATCTGAACTCGGTCTCCAGATAACGTGAAGAAAAGCGTGAAGGACATCCCAGAGACAATCCACAAAGTGAGGGTCTGGGCTGTGGAGCCGGCGGCATGTGGTGTGCTGTTAAATTCGCTGCATTTGCCCCAGCCTGGACTTCATGGACAGCCCCTCCCAGGAGCCAGGCCCAGCAGAGGAAAGGAAAAGGCATCACACAGGTCTGCTGAGCGGAGAGCAAACAGCGCTCAGGAGCGGGCAGAGTTAGCTCAAGGCCTGAGGCTCTTTCCAGGTCAGACATGTTTTTCACGTCTGGTCCCAGCACTCTGGGAGGCTGAGACAGGAGGACTGCACACGTGAGCCCAGACCGGCCAACTTACAACTTAGGAAGACCCAGCCTCAAAAGAAATACAAAAATACAGAAATAAACAAAGGCAGAGAGGAGGGACTACTGGGGCTGCAGCTCACTGGGAAAGTCCTGGGTTCAAATTTCCAATACTGGAAAATAAATATGAGGAACAAACAAATAGCTTCAAACCTACTTTAGCTTAAAAGCTATTCTCTGATTTTGTGAAGTCATCCAGTGCTGCAGGTGAATTACTGGCTGGCACCAACATGTCCGAGGGCTATCACCCCACAGCAACCTAAGTCAGAGTATTTGGAGCCACCTGACTCCGAGGTCACTGGAGCCGGAGCCAGGGGAACCCTAAGAACTCACAACGCTGTCATCCAAACTGCGCCCTGTGAAACGCATGTGCTTGGACCTGGCCCCAACCTGAAGGTGCCTGGACATGCAGCCTGGTGGGGCAGGGTCAGGGCTAGAAAGGTCAGAGGGCGGAGCTCAGGATGGCATCCAGGTCTTCACAACAACAGGCAGCAGAGGGCTCTCTCCCCACCAGTGCGGGCACAGCCCAAGGGCAGCCACCTGCAAGCCAGCAGAGTGCCCTCAGCAGAACCAACCCTGCTAGTCCCGACCCAGAGCTGGAGCTCCCAAACTGAAAGAAAACATGCCTGAGCCAACAGAGGCCAGTGCAGATGTGTGGTGCTACACAGGGGCCTCTGAGCAGAGGCGGAGAAGTGAACCATGGCACGGCGACTGAGCCTGTGCATGTGCCTGACACAAGGAGGCAAAAGAGTCAGCTCACACCAGCTATAGAACCCTGGACCGAAGCCTGGGCCAAAAGGCGGCCATGACTGGAAGGACTGGCGAAGTCCAAATAAAGTCGGCTTCGATTAACGGTAACACAGCAATGTTAATTTCCTAATTCTGAGAAAGGTTCTATGATTATGTAAGATGTTAATATCAGGGAGAAGAGGGTGCAGGGTACATGGGAACTTTCTTCACTTTTTTCCGTTTATATGTCAATCTAAAATTATTCCAAAATTTAAGTTTATTTAAAAAAGCAGCTAACGGTGGCGCACACCTGTCATCCCAGCACTGTGAGGGTCTGGGGCAGGAGGATCGGAAATTTGAGTGCAGCCTGGGAAACTTACTAACTTAGTGAGTCCCTGTCTCAAAATGAAAAAAATAAAACAAAGCCTTGAGATGTAGCTCAGTGAGGTGGCCCTGGGTTCAAGCCCCAGTATAAGAAAAAGAGAAAGGGTGGGGGGAGCCAGCCACCAAAATTAAAAATAAATTGTGGATTAAAAATAATTAAATTGAGACTGGATGAACAACCCAAAAGAGCCAATAGAAAAAGAAAAGCCAAGACCCCTGGGGACCCCCAACACTCTAGGCGCAGAAAGGAAAGCCAGCAATGGAAGCTAAGGAGGCAGAAGAGAGGATGGAGCAAACTGGTGGAGCCCACAGGAGCCAGGAGCAGCAGAGAGGAGGCCAGACAGCATGGCAGGGAAGCAGAGGGGTGTGGAGGGGCAGACCCTGGACAGGGCTGGGAGGGCCTGGTCTGCAAAGCACCTTCTCTTGTTCCAACCACTGTTCTAGGGTCACAAAGGAAAGCACGTGGCACCCAGAGCCACGAGCCTTGCCCACCGCCCCGCAAGGACCAGCCGGCCAGCATGGCGCCCTGAAGGCATAGCAAGCACTCACTGAGGGAGAAGTGTCATCGTCGTATTTCTTCAGCTGGTTCATGAACTCCAAGTGCTTCTTCTCCTCCTCCAGCTGCGCCACCGACTGCTCACTCTTCTGCAGCTTCTGCTGTGTGTTGGCCAGCTCGTCCCGAAGCCACTGATTCTCCTGGCACAGACGACGAACCTGTGCACGTAATTTCTGCTTCTCCGACTCCACGGCGTTCAGGTGATTTGACAAAGCCATCATCACCTGCACAGAGAGACGTTCCACTGCAGCGCACCACCCAGTGAGCACTGCTCCCGGGGCGAGGGCTCCCTGCTCCAGCTCACAGGCGCCTGAGGACCGCCTGCCATCCATCCCGCACACACTGCCCACTCAAGACATCTACAAAGGGACCTCTTCTTTCCACATGAGGGCACCCCAAGGACAAGCAACGAACACATCTGCTCTCGTGACACGCCCTTTGCATAGGGATATGTCACCAAAGGCAGATGGGCAGGCAGGCGGGGCAGTGGTGAGGGGAGGGGCCCTCGGCTAACCACAGAGCCCCAGGAGGCACTGGTGCTGGCGCAGCCACAGCTGACGGCTCCATCGCAGAATCAGGGCTCTGCCTGCAGCTTCTGGGGCAGCTCTGAGGGGTGTGAGGTGGGAAGGCAGGGAAGCCAGCCAGCTGCATCTCCCCTGTGCACATCATGGACCCATCCTCCTCTCTCAGGACGCAGGAACTCTGTTCCCACCCCCAGGTGTGAAACAGAAGCTCCGGAGGGTGGGCTTTTGCTTCCTTATTTTATAAGAGCTTGGGAAACAGTGGGTTCACAAACTCCAAACAGTGAGAATGTTCTACAAACCAGCATCTGGACAGGGCTGGGATGAGGAGCCCTAAAAGGGGTGTCCAGGTGCTCACTTCCTCTCCAAAGGCAAACTAGTGACCAGCAGCCCCTCTTCTACCTCATCCACTCACCATACAGGCAGAGAGCAGAAGCCAAGTCTCTGTGTATGAATCTGACCTAAGAGCCAGAGGTGATCAGGGGAGAAAGCCCCAGACGTTTCCAGTTTTCATCTCCATGTCAAACACCACAGAAACTTAAAAGCAACCTGGCCCTGGAGACTGAGGAGCCACCGCTGCCACCCCATGTTCCCACCCTCCTTCCAGACACAGGTGCTGGACGGAAGGCAGGTTAGTGTCCCCAGCCCTGCACAGCCAGAGGGCAGAGGATGGCTCTCATGAAGTGAAACCTAGGCAGCAGCACTACAGGGAGGGCCACCTCGCTCTCCTTTCCCTTGTCCCAGCACAAAGTCCCGTGGCTGCTGCAGAGGCTCCCTCTTGGGCCCAAGATGCGCCCAGCATGCAGTGCAAAGGGGCTGGAGCCTGGGCGTCAGATGAACTAGCATCCAGCAAGCTTACCTTGGTGCTCATCTGGGGGGCGGGGGACTCAATACTAAATGACACCCAGCCTCTTCAAAATTCAGGTGGGGCCAGGGGTTTAGTTCAGCGGCATCGCACCTGCCTCACAAGCTCAAGGTACTGAGGCTGGGCATACTGGCCCAATCCTGTGATCCCAGCTATTCAGGAGGGTGAGGCAGGAGGATCACAAATTCAAGCCCATCATGGGCAACTTGGCAAGACCCTCAAAATACCATTTTGTTTTAAAATTTTAAATAAGTAAAATTAATTAATTAAAAAGTGCTGGTGATGTAGCTCAGTGCAAAAGCTCTGGGTTCACTCCCCTCTAACACAAAAATAATAATAATAAATTATGGCAGGTGTGGTGGCCCACACCTGTGATCCCAGCACTCGGGAGGCTGAGGCAGGAGGATCACCATGAGTTTGAGGTTACCCTGGGCTACATCATGAGCTCAGCGCCAAACTGCACTGCATAAATAAAAATAATAATAAATTTTTTAAATTCAGATAAGCTCAACTCAGTAGTCAGTTATGTAACAGACAGGACCCACAGATGAGTGGCCTCCCCACCCTGGTAAGAGGCACTTCTCCAAAGCGACCAACCACGGCCAGGGCTGAGTGGCTCTCACGCACCTGCGCCTCACTCAGGCCGAGCTCCAGCATCTCCAGGGACTTCCGGATCATGCTGGACTTCTCCTCCACCAGGTTGCTCTCGTCATCTTTCTTCAAGCACTTCAGCGTCTCCAGCAAACTCTGCAGGATGGAGTTGTGCTCATTCTTCAGAGCCTCTAGCCCCTGGATTACTTGCTTTGTCTTGGAGATGATTTCATCCTGCGTGAGCTTCTCCAACTTGTCTTCCTTTATGTACACCATTGTGGACATGTTGTCATACATTCTAGAACGGAAAAAGAAAAGGATCAGACATCTCATAACAGGATTCATGTGTGTCACATCACTGAACAGTAAACATCTGTAAGAACTTTAAATTATATTTTATAGGTGAGTAATAAATACATAGAACTGTAATTTATGAGTCAGGTGTGGTGACCCATGCCTGTAATCCCAGCACTTGGAAGGCTGAGGCAGGAGGATCACCATGAGTTCAAGGCCAGCCTGAGTTACATAATGAGAACCTGTCTCAAAAAAAATCTTTTTAGGGCCGGGGATTTAGCTCAGTGGTTTCACCGCCTGCTGCGCAAGTGCAAGAGTTGGCACCGAGTTCAATCCCTGGTACCAAAAAAAAAAAAAAAAATTGGGGGGAGTGGTTTCTGCTGCCTGCTTTGCAAGGGCAAGGTCCTGAGTTCAAGCCCTGGTACCAAAAAACAAAAATTTTTTTTTAAATAATTATAATTTATGGGCTGGGGATTTAGCTCAGTGGTTTTGCTGCCTGCTGCGCAAGCAAAAGGACCCGAGTTCAATCCCTGGTACCAAAAAAAAAAAAAAAGAATTATAATTTATGACCTTAAATATTAAATTTGGTACTGTTTCTGCATTTCCTTTGTACACCTATTAAATCACTTTCCTGGTTTATGTCTGAATTCTTTTTAATAACAGTAACTAAAATTAGTGCCAGAGCTAGGGATTTAGCTCAGTGGTTTCAAAGCCTGCTGCGCAAGCACAAGGACCCAAGTTCGATCCTGGGTACCAAAAAAATAAAATTAGTGCCAAAGATTAAGAACAGCATAACATCCAAATGACACTCCCAAAACACAAAACCTCAGGGAACATTTCCTCTAAATGTTTGCAAGCTTTATTTACTTGGTGAAATGCAAAAGGACCTTAAATCTGTGATGTTCCTAGCCTTAACTGTGTTGGCCTGGTTGGCTTGGGACCCCCAGGGATTAATAAACACACTGAGTGTGTCTGGGTGGGTCACAGAGGCATGACCCTGGGCACTGCACATGGTCCCTGCCCCTCCACTCTGGCTCCATCCCCTGCTCTGCTTCCCAACTGCCGTGAACTAAGCGTCTTTGCTCCCACCACAAAGTCCACCGTGATGCCTCTGCCTTGAAGCTAGCCAACCATGAACTGAGTCCCCCAGTACCATGAGCCACATTAAACCTCTCCTTTGATTTGAGGATGTCAGGTATTGTGTTCCAGCAATGGAACAGCTAATACAAAATTCTTAGTAACATATTTAAGCAGACAAGGCCTTGGGAGGTGGTCATGCAGCTGAAAGAAGAGAAAAAAATAACCCAGGGAGACACACAAGAACAGTAAGAGTGGAAGGAGAGGGCCAGATCTGTGAGACACAGGCGGAGATTCACAACCGAACATTCATAGGCCAAGACCTAAGAAGACACAGCCAACGGATGCAATGTGTATTCTCTTTCCCACATGAACACCATCAAAGCTAGTACTTACATGAAAAATAATTTTTTAAAAATTAAGTGAGACTTAATCATCAATTGAGGAGGCCTGAGTAAAAAGTCCACCAAAGTTATTTAAAGAAAAGGTGTAGGGTGTAGCTCAGTGCAGTGCTACAGCACTTGCCTAGTTCCCATTGGACCTCAGGTTCCATCCCCAGCACCACACACACACACACCAGACAGAAAGAAATCAATTTGAACTCAGGAAACATACAACATGGGCCGGGGATTTAGTTCAGTGGTTCCGCCGCCTGCCTTGAAAGCACAATGTCCCAAGTTCGATCCCCTGTACCAAAAAGAAAAAAGGAAGGCCGGGGACTTGGCTCAGTGGTTCTGGCACCTGCCGCGCAAGCGCAAGGTCCTGAGTTCAATCCTCAGTACCAAAAAAAAAAAAAAAGGACACATTTGAAAAAAGGAAAGGAGAAAAAGAACAGCCCCTTTAAGGTAGTTTTGTTGCTTAAACTTAAAAGAGCTGGTGAAGCCAGGCATGGTGCACCTGTGGTCCCATGACTCAGGAGACAGAGGAAGAAAGATTATTTGAGCCCAAGAGTTTAAGGTCAGTCTAGACAACCTAGTGGGACCCCATCTCACAAAAGAATAATAAAAGAGAGAGGAAGAAAAAAAAAAGAGAAAGGTAGGCCCCTACCCTCACCACACACTGAATTCCAGGCTGGTCACAGGGTTAGATCTGGGGCAGTATGTCTGCAGTGCTGGGGACGGGACACATTGAATAAGCAGCAGTCTACCACTGACCTACATTCCCAGGCTTCACTACAAGTGTGCAAAAAAATGAAGAACTCACAAGAAACTAGAAGAAAATACAGGCAGAGGTCTAAATGCATAAAGATTAAAGTCCATTCTGTGAATAGAAGCAACAGCAGAAAACTGCAGAAGACTACAGTGTACGTACAACAAGACATTCATTATGTTGGATGCAGAAACTAAACACATGACTGAGTGAAAGCTATTTTGCAGCTCACCATAGTGAAGAATTCAAAAGTACACAAACTCCAATCTCAATGGTTAAAGGTTAATAATCTCTGAAAAATAAAACTTACTAGAAATCTAAGTCAACTCACACATCCTACTCTCTAAGCCTACAAGCCACACAGTTCCCAGCCCCTCTTCCAACTCTTACAGCGTGTCTACCTCCAGATGTCTTGGGAATCAAGGAATTAGCTAGAACTATGCCCAGCAAACAAGGAAGCAGCTTCAGAAGCCCTGAATCCTCTTACATCTGCCGCGTGACTGCCAGAGCCTGGATCTCCCAGCTGCCAAGTGGCACTGATGCCTCCCCTGACCTGGGTCCCACAGCTCAGAACTATCCCCATGCCGGTCAGGCACAGTGGTGCACACCTGTGGTCCCAGCTACTGCTAAGGCCAGATGATCCCAGGTTCCAGGCCAGCCTGGGCAATTTAGTGAGACCTTGCTATGGTTTGTATCTAAGTGTCCCCAGAGCCTCATGTACTCATAGGTGGGGCTTGGGGAGGTGACTGGATATTGTCATTGAATGAAGCCACTGGCAGGTTTAGAGCTAGGTGTGACATTTACAGACCGGCCACTGGAGTTCATAGCTGGTGGGAAGAGGTGAGTCACTGTGGGCGTGGCCTGGAAGGGCATCCTCCCCCCCCCCCATCCCTCTCTGCTTCCTGCTCCCCTGCCATGAGCAGTTTCTCCCCTGCTACACCACCCTGCCTTGGAGCCAGCCAACTATGGACTGAAACCTCCACAAACCACAAGCCAAAATAAACCTCTCTTCCTTTAACTTGCGGGTATTGGGAATTCTGTCCCAGCAAGAAAGTAACTAAGACTGACCGTGTCTCAAAATAAAACCACAAAGGGCTGGGGATACACCTCATCCCTCCATGGGTTCCATCTCCAGTACCTCAGGCAAAAGAAAGGAGGGAGGGCCAGGCCTGGAGGGCACACCTGTGACCCCAGCTCTCGGGAGGCTGAGGCAGGAGGATCGAGGTGAGTTTGAGGCCAGCCTGGGCTACATAGTGAGATCCTGTCTCAAAAAACCAAAAAAGAAAAAGAAAGAGAGAGAGAAAGAAAATTCAGTCCCACGCGCTCCTCTCTTCCAAGTGATTCCCAAGACACCTGGCCCCAGGTTACCCTAAGCACGGCAATTTTAGAGGTTACTTCAGTTTAGTTTTTGTGGTGCTCAGGGATTGAACCCACGGCCTTCGCACCGAACTACATGCCCAGCCCTTTTTAGGTTTTCATTTTGAGACAAGTCTCTAAGTCATTGGGTTGCCCAGACTGGGCTCAATCTCACCACCCTCCCATCTCAACCTCCCGAGTTCCAGGGTTACAGGCACTGGCCGCCACCCTTGGCAGGAAGAACCCTGAAGAACCACTGTGCTGTCGCTTCTAGGGCAGGAGAACTGTGTGAAATCTCCAGCAGGACCCGACCCTCTAATACCTAAAACACGAGGAACTCTTCCGCAGGGAAGCTGTGGGGCTCAGAGCAGAGTCTCAGGACCCATGTCAGCCAACACATTCTGAGCTGCATCTGCAGATTCCGAGAGCCAGCACTTAAAATAACGAAGGCGAAATAGCCCTAAAACGACTTTTATTTACTTCTAATTTTAGAACTTGTCTCCATTTTAATAGAGACTCAGTCTTCACAATTTTTACTGGGTTTTCTATTTATTCATTTATTCATTTGTTTATTTTTTGAGACAAGGTCTCGCTATTATTCTGGCCTCAAACTCACACTAATCCTCCCGCCTCCGCCTCCCAAGCGCTGGCATGACAGGTGCACACCACCACACCTGGCCACAACACTGGGTTTTATTGCTAAAGTACACAGTTCTCACATTCACAAAGCCACCTCACTCACACCACACCATGAGGACAAAAACTAGAAATGACAAGAACCTATCTGGCTCCACTCCTGGTCCTCTGATTAAATCCTACCTCTAGCATTCTGTGACCCATAAATAAAACAACTTGAGCTGAGGATACAGCTCAGTACGTGCCTAACATGAACAAGGCCCTGGGTTTCATTCCTGCACTGGAAAGAAAAAAATTAAATGCCTCTTGAAATAAAAATAGACACCAGGGCCAGGGAGTTAGCTCAGTGGTTTTGTTGCCTGCTGCGCAAGCGCAAGGACCCAAGTTCGATCCCCGGTACCAAGAAAAAGTCATTAAAGCCCATAAGACCTAACAGTTCAGACAGACAGGGTAACTGCATCATGGATGGATTATCAATTCTCCAACATCCTACCTGACAAGTAGGACTCGTGTCTCTACAATAAGTGAAAAGGAATCACAATACGTGATATGCAGCTCATGCTCAAAAGCATAAGACATGAATATTAACTCACATATTCGGTTGATTTACTTCTACCTTGAGGCAAACAGGCCAGCAGTAGTATGCAAAGCAGCTGCACTCTTACTATCCCTGAAGCTGCCGTGCGTGTCCTTTATCCACTCCCTCTAGCACTCCAGTGACGAGAAGCAGCAGCCTCGGGAGTGACAGTGGCTCCCAACAAGGACTGACGGGTCTGGGGCAGCACC